CTGCGAAGACCAAACATCGACTCGGAGCGCCCCTTAACAAAAACAAAAAAGCTTCGAAGAGCTTGAGAAGCTGGTCGAGAGGTTTAATGTTACGAAAAAAATACCTCTACTTTCAACGACTGGAGCAAACTCTTGTAGGACAACTATGAACTCCTCCAGCCTGCTGAGTATGAAACACGCGGAGATGGTGGGCGTAACACAGCCCGACTATGTTTTGGGGTTCGAATAGCGATTTTACGCTTAAAGATCAACAAATCGGCTGGAGCTGACGGCCAACCGGCAGAGTTGTTCGAAAATAGCGGTGAAGAGCTGTCAAAATCGATTTATCTGCAAAATTCGTTTTAAATCACAATTAATTACCAACTTTAACAACAACAACAAGAAAAAATAAATAATTAAATAGTTGTCAAAATATTGAATCAACCAATCAGAAAAGGGTATGTGATGTCTACCAAATGTTGTCATAAAAATAATTAAAGTATTGAGCTACATTTTAAAAATTCGTTCTAAAAAGTGCTTTTTTTTTACAAGAATTATGGTTTTTTAGTAAGGGAGCCTTTTGGTCAAGAGGGAGCGATAAAACTGTTTCCTTATCCAACCTTTAATTATTGTATAATGGAATTTTTGTCTCCTATTGGAGACTTTTTCATTCCATCACAATTGAAATACATTTTCACTACATGGAAAAGTAATTTTGAGTCGTTTTCTAGTAATCTTTGAATCTTTCAGAATATAAATCATTTTACAATTATTACTCCTAAGCTTTTGTCTAAAAGACTGTCAATAAAGAAATAAATAAATCAACAAGAAGACTCGATTAAGATTCAACCAGATGATTTTACTTAAAATGATCTCCTATAAACAGGAAGGGAAGTAGCTGTTTAAATACAGAATTTTCGGCATGTGCTTAGATGTTCATGCTGCGGTCATACATCGTGTATATACATATACGAGGTGTGTTCAAAACGTATCGCGAATTTTGAATTTTCGCGGCTTACGTATAATCGAATTTCGATTTTTTTGTGGCGTTAAGTTGGTACTCTTGTCTGTCACTCATCCCGACAAGCCCCAGTTCTGGACCCCTGTGACTTTTTCTTGTTCCCTAAACTGAAGAGGCCCATGAAAGGACGACGTTACGCTACGATTGACGAGATAAAGACGGCATCGAAGGAGGAGCTGAACAAGATAAAAATAAATGATTTTTTGAAGTGCTTCGAAGATTGAAAAAACCGTTGGCACAAGTGTATAATATATCATGGGGATTACTTTAAAGTGGACAAAATAGATAATCATGAATAAATAAATAATTTTTGAAAAAAAACACAATATTCGCGATATTTTTTCAACACCTCGTATACATATATATTCGTAGATAGTTTTATTATATAACAATTGTTTCTTTAATGTTTATTTGCGAAATTTGTTTATTTTTGTTTCATCTTTTGCACTTGCCTGTTTTCTTTTTTTAATTTTTCACGATTTTTGTCTTTCTTTCCTCTTCTTGCTATTAGCTTGTCTCGCTTTTTAGTCGTTGAATTGTTGTTTATTTAGATGTTAGATTTCCTGCTAACCGTTTTGCTCAGTGTTTGCATTTTCTTTTAGCCTCAATGTAGATACTTTTGTGGTTTTTTTTTTTCTTTTGCACGTAATTAATATTTTTATATACTTATTTTATATATACATATACACTCATGTAGATACTTTTTTTAAAATGCTGTTATATTGGGTTTTGAGAGCAATGAACAATTTTTATGTAGGTAATTACAATTTGTTTGGGTAGAAGCAACGCCACCACTCACCCACCTGAACCAGGTAATGCTCAACCAACCGACTATACGGTGTGCAGGCGACGCGTGTCTGTCTATTTTTACGTTTCCCTAACGCTGACACGAGCGGGCAAATTGACTTTACTTTGAGTGTGAGAAGTGTTACAAAAAAAAAAAGCGCCACAAACTTTTGAGTAGAAAAACTATATTTATTTCTCTGCGCTGCAGGAAGAATCACACCGTCCAGGTGAATTGTAGCTGAAGCACTGACGTTAATATCGGTAAATACGACGGGAAAGCTGACAATGGTGACGACCACCCGACGACGACGACGGCGACGACGACAACAATTAAATGACGCAGGATGTCGTTGCTTGCTTCATTTCCGGGTGCGCTCCACCAACGGTTGTGTGGGGTTGTATGGCAATGCTGCCTCCACCAACACAGTAGGTGCAAGTACTTTAAAAAATATCTGCAATATAAGTAAAATACAGCTTTAAATCTGCTTTAACGTTGACCGTATGCTACTCTTCGTCGTGGCTCGACCGACTGATTACTGCCTACACACACCGTTCAGCTGCTCTCCGCCTGCTCCTCTACATATGACGCTGCTATTTTAAAGCCAGCACTAAAGCGTCGAAACAGCAGTGTTTGCTTTGTAGAGCAAACTTGATTTTTTTTTCCAGAAAATCTAATTTCTTCGTTTTCGTTCCAGTTTCGCCTGATTTTATGCAAATTTTGTTTTTTCAGCGTGAAATTTTTTCGATACTCACTCAAATGCAGAGAATAACTGTTTCATATTTGTTTGTGATTTACATTTGTCGTTTATTTAAAAAAAAAAACTCTAGTGGCGTTTAATTCTCACTAAATTCACAGATTTTTATTTTTTGGATTTTTTTAATAATAAATTTTCGCTTGTAAATCAAAGTTTCATTTTTCTATTTTTCAATATGAAAAAAAAGACTCGGAAACTTTTCTTTGCACAGCTCCTTTGTTGAATTGAAAAAGAAAAATTGATTAATTTTTTATTTTTTTTTTTTGGAAATTTAACGGATTTGATTTTGTTTTGAATTTCCGGCGCAAGTTGTTTTCTCTATAAAGTGATGTACGTTTCTTTGCTTGCAACTTGATATTATGTAATAATACCGTTAAATTTCTTTTGCAATACTTGCAATTTTTTTCCTATAATTTTGTACAAATGAAAATTTTCACATTCTTCTCTTTCACAATTTTGGCGTACTTGCGTAGCTGCGTGACGTTATTTCTCAAAATTTTCACCCGAACTGATTTTCTATTTTTCCGACCGTGCGCTCTGAGGTAGAATTGTAAGTTTTCGCTTGGCTTATCGTAGCCATCGTTCGGTCGACGTTGTCGTTGTCGTTGTCGTCGTCGTCGTCGTCGTCGTCGTCATCGTCGTTGTCTCTTCTTATTTGTTGTTTCCACAGTCTGTTCCCCCAGTGCATACACACAGTTACACACAAAGGGAAGCTCATACATATGTATGTATGTAATATAACTAAAAGCCCACTGTAGTGCAGGAAAAATCAATCTTTTTTGTCATTTCTCTTTTGCCTTGCTATTCGGTAACTCACACAACCACATTTGCATACACGCGTCGACTTGCAACCCCCACCACAGGTATAATAGAAAAGCTGACGATCCAACCACCTTTTAAAAAGTTGATGTGCCTTTTCAAATATTGTCAAGTTCTTATTTTGGTTTCTAGAAAAGAGTGATATTTACTCGCTGGTGGTCGCATTCAGATAACGTCACTAACTGGTAGTGACTTGAGGAAGAGGTTTACCAAATCTGTGTGTCCTTAGCACTTAATTGTTCACGATGACATTCGAGATTATCTAAAGGGAGGCCCAGTAAAAGAGCTGTTCTGGGGACATGCAAAGGGGTGGTTAAAGCCCTTCGTTATTTTAACGTAGTCGAGTGTGAATAGATACTAACCAAGTCTGCTACAGTAGTCAAACTTTGATCATGCCAGTCGGTAGCACTTCGCACTTAGAGGTCTTTTCGCAGGACACAGAGTCCGTAAGGTAGGGTAGAGTATTTGAGCTGTATCGTAGCTTTTTCATCTGCCTCTTGCTAGACTGACCGATCGATGTTTTTTTTTAGAATTTTTTCGCGGCTCTATACCTTTGTGACATTCGCGGTCGTATGCCGAGTGAGGTCGAGCAGCCTGTCGAACATCATTCCCAGTAACTTCAAGTTATTAGCAAAGGGATTCTTTTGTCATAATAATTTACAATTGGACTCTTCCTTAAATAAAAGCTCAAATGATGTGGGGAGTAGCAACGCCGGTCTTCCACAAGTGGGAAGAACACGGTTACCTGGGTCGATCAAGTAGTAAAGGTAATAGCTGTGGATTTCGTATAAAGAACAGGATAATTGGAAATATTCAAGTTCTTGTCGGTATTTCTTAAAACTTGATATTTATCTTGGAAATTATCCATTGACGAGGAATCAAAACACGGAACAGAATCATTGCATCGACAAGAGGAGTATCAACTTCCTGAATTTGCGAAACGGCAATTGCGTCTTTCCAATGTAACAACATTCAGATTCGCAGAATTTCAGTTTTCCATAACAAAGATGTTTATTGAATTCATAAACCCTGAGATACGGTGATTTGCGGCTCGACGTGGTACGCTTACTAGTTATCGCTTCCTGCACTTCACCGATGCACGAAAATTTAGATGAATAGTATATTTAAGTCTCACTATAAAAACCAAAGTTATTTTTTTTGTCGTTACCGGTAGTACGCAGTATAATTAATAACAACATCGTAAATTAATATTCTATAATCAGTAACCACATACACATAAATATGTACATGTTTTTAATACAATTTGCAACAATAAACACCTGCTTAAACATAAGAATTTAATCCTTCTAACATAAATTACCACATTCATACCAACATATGCAAAAAAAATTACTTAGACATGTACATACATATATTTATTAGTATAATATTTATAATTTGAGATAATTGAAAAAACCTTAGACTTAAAAAATTATCTACTTATTATTAAATTTCTCAAGTTTTTCAGTGAGTATCTTAATATCTCACACGCTCAATAATGCGGGGGCGTGTATCCAACACAACCCCTATTGCTTTGTGACTTTATCGATTTTAGCAGATTACTTCAAGTATTATAAATCAATTTGTATTCAATTCACAAGCGGCAATTCCAATTGGATTTCTAAAGTAAACAAACTCACAGCTGTTCTGCAGGTCTTCTTCCCGTTCTTATCTAAATGGTGACAAACATGGCGAAGAGTGATAAAATCACGATTATTTGCTTCTCCTTAAAGAAAATTCCATCACACAATCATGAAACCACACAGATATGTGTGTATATCATTGACTCCAAATTTATCTACTTAAGTACATTTACGTACATACGTTGAACATTAATTAACAACTTCGCACCTTAATATATTTCTTTTTTTGCTGTTATTCTGGTCACTATTCCGCTGCAATTGTATCTAAAATCGTTTATTCAATTTCCATTAAAAAACACGACCGACACGTTTAGCAGCTACGTTTTTAATTATATAATTTTCGTATAAAAAGATCCTAGCAACTTCTTTTTTTTTCATAAAAAATAAAATAATTTTTTCTGAAATTAAAAAATTTCGTCGTAATCACACAAAAACCACTTCATTAGAATTTCCCCGACAAAAAAAACCGAGCCGCACGAAAAAAAATCTTATTGCAAAATGTCCCAAAAAGATTAAAAGTGCTGCCAAGTGTAAGTTAAGTGGGAAATTAATAGGTCTGTTAGCTTACTTCATAGTAAGCCAATAAGTTTTTAGTAACACATTATTTATATTATATCAACTATTTAACCAAAATTAATAGAAATCATTAACAGAATTTGTAAAAAATAATAAAATTCAGTAGCTGTTGTGAATTATGCGATAAATAAAAATTAAAAATTTACATATATGAAAAGCAGTTAAGTTCTACGTTGGAGTTACGTTGATAAGTTTTGCTCAATTCAGTGTTTCCTACGGTAATCAGACTCGGACTGAGAATACGTTCAAGAGTGTCTCCAGTATAAGTTCTCTGGTATCATCTGTTTTGCAAAACAAAGTGATAAACATTTGGATACGAGTGGCTCTTATTTGTTTTTATCTTTTGATTTTTATAATTAGTTGGAATATTAAAGTCCTTCAAAAGCATTCCTCTTCTGAATTCGCGTTAGGAACGCAAGTGTTCTATTTAAAAAAATCATACTTCTAACATATATGCTTAAATATGTCACTACTGGATGTTGACTCATGGTAAGATTAATGTAGCTGATCGCTAAAGAGATTTTGAGACACATATATGTATATAACAGGTCGAGGGAATGCGAGTCATGTGCGACGCTAAATCAAGGTATATTGCTAAAGCTGGAGCAGCGGGAAAAACGACAAAAGAATTCAGTGGAATACAATCGTCTTACAACCGCAATACAAACCGAACTAAAACAATTTGAGGGAGAAGTTAAAGAACTTAACCAAAAGCTGGGATTATTGGAAGGCGCACGGTCAATGTATGATTCACTTTAAGTTAATTGTCAATATATTCCGATTCCTTTGAAATTTTCATTTAGAGATCGCGATGAGCTCTTTCGTCGAAGGCAACAAATTGATGCTCTGAAAAATCAATTCGCCTTGGTTAATCGCAGAGCAACGCAGGATACGCGGTGGGAGCGTGCCGAATTATTTGCTCAGTCGCCAAACGATTCAACTAACGAACCAGCTACTTCATCGCCTATTACTGATGATATAAATGATGTGAACACTCTAAAACAACGACAAATTGATATATTAGAACGCCAAAATCGGGGCCTAGAAGTATTATCTCAGACAATTTCAAGGCAAAGAAATCTCGCTTCACAATTAGGTCAAGAGGTGGAAAACCAAAATGGTGAGCAATGTACCTAAGGATTGTAAAGGTTACTAACTAGTCATAATTCAATCACTTTCAGATATACTGGATAATTTAGCGGACACTATGGAGAGAGTCGATGCGCGTGTGCATGTGGAAACGGGAAATATTGGAGAAATAAATCGTAAAGATAGCACATGGGGTATGTAAAGTGCAAAAAAAAAAACAAATTGTTACCAAAAACTAATGTTTTTCTATTTCACACAGGCTATTGGCTGATTATAATTTTATTGTTTATAGCCATTGTTATTACAGCACTAATTTAAGTGCATTTGTATAGCAAAGTAAAGTACGGCACTTATAAGATGTCGCCATATTATGTAAGAAAATGTACACTATTATATAACTGTGACCGTGTTTTGGAAATCTGATGGGGAAAATTACGAATGTAACAAAGGATCAACTATTTGATGTCTGTAAATAAAGAATTGATTTTATATGGTATTCTTTCCGTTTTGCCGATAATTGTTGCTGACGTTTAGTGTATGTGCTGTATTTTAAAAATAATGTAATAAAATTTTCCACATTTTTATCATTAAAAAAATAGTACATATAAGTTTCTGTTAGTCCCTCTATTTTTTAATTTCTTTCACTTTAACAATCCAGCTAATACATTCAAATTAAAGCACATTATAGTATCTAACTCTTCATCAATTATATAATTTAATTTTATAATTAAAACGTACAGTTTCGGATTTTCATTTTGGTAATTTTAATGTTATGTCAATATTTCGGTTTATACAATTAAGCTAAATCTGACGCATATGGTACGTTAGCGAGGTTACCTACAGCACCAACAGACAGCTTTGATGAACCTGCTTTCTTGGCAGCCTGGATAACAGAAAAAATTTACTAGTTTAATTTTAAACACCAGACAAACAAGTGTGACATATACCTCTTGCACATCCTGTTGAGTGACACCATCGACAGCAGCCAACAAAGCGTCAATACTTTGTACCTGTTTGGTTTGTACAGCTTGTACGCCAATCTCATTGATCAAAGAGCTGTCTGTAGAGTAGCTCTCCAACAAAGCAGCTTTCAGTAAAGCCTTGCCACGATTAACATCATTTGAGGATACTGAGCCAGATTTCAAAGCGCGTGTTAAGGCTTCGACGGCCTAATTAGAAATATGTCATTAATAATTTTTTTATAATTTTATTTTTATATTAATTTACCTTGCCAATATGTTGTACATCAGTAGAAACCAAAAAGCCGAAAAGACCAGTATCAGCATATGCAGCATTAAGCGTTGTTAACGAAACGGATGCATCGGTTACAGCGCCTTGCAAGGCCTTGCCGAAAGAACCATTGATGTTGCCACGTTTTGTAGCCGCACCAGCGCCTACAGCGTGCTTCAAAACAGCAAAAGCTAAAGCCTCTTTCTGGTTAACTAACGAACCACCTTGACCAGCAACAGCAACATGTGAAATCACACCAGCTGTATCCTTACGCGCATCACCACCGTAGTACGAAGCCGAGTCAGATTTTCCCGAACCTGAAGACAATTCCAAATTTTGGGCGAAACCAGACAACGTGTTGTGGTCAATGCCAACACCAACAACAGCGCAACGACTAGGGATTAAAGTGCCAGCAGCATAATGCAATAATGATTCGCTAGACAATTTTCCAATTTGATGTTTAGGGATGTAAATCGAATTTCCAAGACCAGTGCGGAAAGCAGCCCGATGCAGCAATTCTACAGCGCGAACCTTATTCAAATTTTACAATTAAATTAAAACAGTTTTCAATAGTTGAGACCCAAGCTTCCATTAATTACCTGTGGTGGTACACCAGCTACTTGATTGCGCAGCAGTGGTACACTGTCAGTTAACTCCCAAGGTTTGAATGCTGGCTGAGCAAGATCCTGCAAAAAGCGTAGACCAGTTTCGATTTGGTTGGAAGTGGTTTCAACTGTGTATGTAACTAGTTCACGATCGTTGCTTGCGCTCAAAGTGCCACCAACTTGTTGGATATTGCGGGCAATGGCAAAGCTGGTGGAGTTCTTGGTAGACAAACCAGCAGCGATACGTAGCAAGTGGGCAGCGCCTTGGTTTTCATAGCTTTCATTACGGGAACCAGCGCTGTAGAGACAAATGAGAATATAACAGTAAATTTCTTCTAAAACTTGCTTTCAAACATTACTTACCGGAAAATTATGGATACACGCGAAACTGGCAGGGAGGCTTCGGCGGTGGCGACCACCAATTTGTTGTTCAACACTGTGGATTTCACTTCAGCAGCTTGGCCTAATGGACGTGGACACTGACTAGCCAAACCGCGCTTCTAAAATGCAATTGGAAAAATATATATATATATTATTCTTTAAACACTTTCTGCAAAATGACAGATACTCGAATAAATCGCTTTACGTAACCACGATTTCGGAAATTTGGGTTAGCACATTTACATTAAATTCTTTTAAGTTTAACTTACAGCAATTGTACGTAAGAAAGGTGCTTTGTTTGCGTTACATGCCATCTTTAGAATATATTTATTAATTTCTAAGGGCAAAGGAATAAATCCAAAATTTCCAATTGAAGAGATTTTCTCGCTCGGCCAGTCTTCACACTACAATTGACAGCGAAGACGTAACTTTAAGTGCTACCAAATTTATTAGTATAAGTAAAAGAATTGACCAGCAGATGTAGCTACTATACAATGTTCTAATAAGTTAAAATATTTATTGAGCATATTTCTTTACTAAAAACTTTCAGCATCGTAATATATTTTTAAGTAATGAAATAAAAATTTGTTGCAAAGCCACAATTTCTTCATACCCTTTTTTAACATGATTTAGTTGAATCCTAGTAATATTACAGTATTTGATTCACTTGCGTTTATAAAATGAAACGGCAACACTGCTCGATGTTACAAACAAAAACAAAAGCCCAATTTCAATTTGTCATGAATGTCATTTTAGTAAAAAAAAGATTGAATAGGCAAGAAGTGCAGAAATATCGAAAAGTTTTGTGATTTGTATTATTGTAGTGATTTATGTTTTTAAAGAAAATAAAGTAAATAAATATTATTAAAAGCTCATATTACTCAAGTAAATTGTGCAAGGAAATCAACAAAAATGGCATCATTTTTTAACAATCCATTCTCAACCCCAATTGGACAACGAATAGGTAATTAAATTACATATGACATGTAATTCCAATAAGAAAAAAGTAAATATATTTAAGAAAAATATGAGCAATACCTATTTTGATATAATTTGTAAATAATATAATTTGAAGAGTAATGCAAATAGCGAATATTTGTAATACATACGTTAATTGACTTTTCACAATACCCACATCTATAAGTCGGCATATGTGTACTACACTATACTATATGGTAGAAATAGTGCATCAAAGCTTGCGCAAAATATATACATATGTATGTACGTATGCATGTAAAAACAAATGTAGACATACGTTTATATGCAACAACAAATTGTCAGTTAACTTATACTATATAGTATTTGGTTTATTTAAATGCCTAATTTGCAATATTTCTGTGCATACACGATTTTACATTATTTATACATACAATTGCATATGCACACTCAAATATAGCAGTGTATGATGGAAATGAATTTCAATATTGTTGACTCATGCCAATGGATTTATAGATATTTCAAAGGAACCCTTTAACTGACCTTATCTACAACAACAACGAACTATAAATATGTTTTTGTATATTTTTATATTTTTCTAATCTATACCATACACACATAATCATATAAATAATATATAGCTGATCAACTTATGTTTAAAGTAAATGTGATACAATATGATTAACTAGATCAACCGAAACCATTTAACCGCGACGAGAAGCTACAATGCTAATACGCAATTAATATACATATAGGCATATGTACCTATTTGCTACAAAAAATACATTAAAATTTATGCAATTATAACAATATTCTCAACTTATTATAAAATGTATATGTATGTATGTAATAATGTAGGCAAAAATGTTTGTTAATCTCTTTGATGCCCAAATATTAACGCAAAATGAGTTCTTAGATAAGCACGCATTGTAGATACATTGTCTGAAAGTATTGAAAGTGATATTTTTTTTTAAATATACATACATGCATATTTATATATGTAGATAAACATATGTATTTGTCGCTTTGTAACCGTTAAAGTGATTTTCGTCCGAGCTCCTCTTTTTCAATTTTATTTCCAAAATGGCAGTACGCAATGCTAACCACTCGATTGTGCTATGACCTCCAGTAAAGCCTTCTTTGCATACCTATTATTATATATGTACCTGTATTTATATACGAAAACATCGAGTATGAGTTAACTTTCATTACGAATATATTGTTTTGTTTAGTTTTCTCACTGTTATGCTAATTTAGTTTTTATAATCGTCAAAAATAAACAGTAGATAAGACTATTTACTTCAGTATTTATCATTAATATACTAAATTTTTTCATTTTATCCAAAAAAGAATAAATAATAATAATTTTTTCTAATATTTATTAGAACAAGCTACTGATAGCTCGTTGGCTTCGGAAAATTGGGCTTTGAATATGGAAATATGCGATATGATTAATGAATCTTCGGATACGGCACGTGACGCCATGAAAGCTATACGCAAACGACTCTCACAAAATGCCGGCAAAGATAATCAAGTTATTATGTATACTCTAACCGTACTGGAGACATGCGTTAAAAATTGTGGCAAAGCTTTTCATGTATTAGTTGCTCAAAAGGATTTCATACAAGAGCTGGTAAAATTAATTGGACCTAAAAATGATCCACCTGCTGTGATGCAAGAGAAAGTACTGAGTTTAATACAAATTTGGGCCGATGCATTTAAGAATCAACCTGATTTGAATGGTGTGACCCAAATGTATATTGAATTGAAAAATAAGGGTATCGAGTTCCCACAGACAGATATAGAGCATTTGGCACCAATTTACACACCTCAACGAGTAAGTTGTGGCATAGAGAAAAAACATATAATTTTCTATTTTTATTTTATTCCATATATTTCAGAGTGTACCTGAGCCACCGCCACAGGTTGTCCAACAAACGATTTCGCCACAACATGCAATACCGATGCCGCCACATGTAAAATTAATCAAATAGTAAAAATTTTTTTAAATACATTTTAAAACTTATATACACTTTAGAGCAATGGTCCCACCGTTTTGAGTGCAGAACAAACTACGAAATTACAATCGGAGCTGGAAGTTGTCGCCCACAATATGTCTGTTTTAGGTGAAATGCTCACCGAACTCAAGCCAGGTCAGGAAGATCCAGATGATTATGCATTGTTGAATGAATTAACAGCCACATGCAAGTAAGAATTTTATTACAATAATATTTTTATGTGAGTATAAATATAATTGTTGACTTTATTTATTGATTTTTTTTTCAGAGAAATGCAAGCACGAATTGTCGATCTAATTGGGCGCATAAATGATGATGAACTAACAGCTGAATTACTACGCTTAAACGATGAGCTAAATAATTTATTCTTACGTCATCAGCGATATGAGAAAAATCGAACAAGTAGTAGTGCAACATCGCCTTCGGCTATATTGGGTGCCGCGATTGGTGTACCACCACCCACAACTGGTGCCCCACAAGCGGCAGCAATTTCAAATGATCCACGATTAATAGATTTGGATGCCAGAACTGAAAAACTAACAAATTCATTCAGTTTCATGAGTGAGTGACATAAATTTGTTTTCGGTGAGCTTTAATTTAACTGAAGCGTTTTTTTTTTTAATTCACAATTTGTAAGGTACGAGCGCAAGTAAACCGCAAAACAAAGACATTGACGAATTCGATATGTTGGCGCAATCAAGAACCGATACCAATAAGTAAGTGTAATGGGGTTTGCATCTTCTTAATATAATTAATTTATAAAAATTTCTTATGTTTTAGCAAAAGCGATTTATTAAAAGACATTCCCACTGTTGATGCAGCAGCTGGCAGTATCAACTTACCCTTCAAACGAACTAAGGAAACGGCTGAACCGAAACTGAAAGTGAGTAAACAGCTTAATATCAATGTAAAAGCAGAATAGGTCTTAGCTTTTAATATACCCATATGTATGTACTTGCTTATATCAAATTAAATTTTTTTATTTAAAAATTTATACATTTTCATTTGACTTGCATTTCTACATTGTTTATTTCGTTATTTTTTCGGTTGTGTGTTTTAATGTTACGTAATCAAAGCCGGCCAGAGATAACGAAGTTGATGAAATGGAGGCGTGGTTAGGCAGCTCTGTAAGTAATCGGGTTAAAAAGTTAATTTTAAGTTTATTTAGAAAACTTAAAATATGTATTAAAAAAAAACATCTCTAGTTAGTTGTCTACTTATAAGTTGTAATTTAGAAGAAATTTTTGTTTAGTAAGCACGCTTTATACCATGAAATGCCAATGCAAATATGTATATGTGCTTTACATAAATAAACAAAATAGTAAAATATTAATATTTGCAGAAAGAAGGCGCTGAAGGATTTGAGGAAACTCTTACTAGCACCGAGTTTGACAAATTCTTGGAAGAACGTGCAGCGGCCGCAGAAAATCTTCCCACTATAAATGCAGCCAATACGAGTAGTAGTACGGCAAACGCCGGCAACGCCGGTGCAGATAATCAGAAAAAATCGGTTAAAAAATCTGATGAAGATGATTTACTTCTTCTATGAGGATGCAGCTTCAGGAAACGCACATAAAACATAACCATTTTTTAAATGTCTACAGCTAGTATTTGCAAATACGAAATTGTATTTATTATATCATTTAAATGGGCGTCGAGACCGGAAATGTGTATATTTTCCAATTATTTTTAAACAAAACTATGTTATTTACTGTATAAGTGAATTGTAATGCAGCTAAACAAAATATCATCATACATCTTGCACATGCACATATACATACATATATGTAATATATGTAAGTAAATGCGTTGAGGCTGCGTATTCCACTCTAACCCACTATATACATAAATACATACTTAGATACGTGTAACGAAAGGTATGAATTCAACTTCTTGCATACATAATCCATTCATTCGCGCTTTCAGCCTGTTTTTTGTTTTTTTGTTTTTTGTTTTTAATATTTACTTGATACTTGTAAACCCACACAGGCATATGCAGACTTATTGACCAAAGCTCAAAGTTGAATTTGCTTAACTTTATTACGTGCATATATTCATTTGCTTAATTGTATTGTGTTGAAAGTTCTACAAATCGATAAAGACTAATTGTATTATGTATTTCCTTATTTATGTACGTGCATGCCGCGCAGTCTTTGATTGTTAACATTTTTTAGTTACTTTTTTTTTGTATAATTTAAGATTTGTTATAAAATGCAGTTAATACTGTAATTAAAAACCACAATATTTTTGCTTTGATGTACATATACATACACATACTTATAAAAAATTGCATTCATATATGTAAGAGTATGCACATAATAATTGGCTAAAGGTGATTTCAAAAATGCACTATACTGTTTTTCAGTACGCAAAAAAATAAAATATATCAATGTAAAATTGCATAAACGCAATTCAAATATAAAATTATGTATTCACTTTAACTTAATTATAAATTTTATTTACAAACATTTTATGAAAAAATAAAACTATAATGTTTAAACGTATTAAATACTACAACTAAACTACGATTTCGTTTAATTTGAACATTTCGTAAAGCTAAAGTTCTTCCATCTCGAAATGTGTATTTCGGATTTTAAATTTGTTTTGTTTTTCTGACGGCTGATTATTTTGAGTAACTGTTGTAACCGCTTGAATATTCCCTACTTAGTTTTTGAAGAACGTTGCGAAATAGACCCAATTATACTCCACTTCTTACGCCTACAAGTGGTTAAATTCTTGAGTCTATTTCTAGAAGGAATGCTAAGTTCGAGAACACCATTTTTTTCAGAAAGCATTTTCGATGTTTCAATACTAAATTTGGTAAGAAAAGTAAAGAAACACATCTCGAAATTGAGGTATCGTTTAAGAATCGACAATTATCAACGATTACTAGTTGTAAATGTGTTTTCACTAACATAATTGTTTATATTTTGATTTGACAATACACTTTCACAATTATCTTTTGTTTCTGTAATCAAATAATGTCCACCGTATTTATAACGAAAAAATTACTTAATTCAAATTTAGCAACAGATCGGAAATCCTATATTTATTTACATAGTGAATGGATAGAACAAAACCTAAAATTACATATAAAGGATTCAAGTTCCGGTCTATGTTATGCTGGCGAGATGGAAGGAAGTGAATTCAAGGAAGCGTCAGAAGACCTTGAAATCCCACTTCAAAAATATATTGATGACCTAAAATGTGTGCTCACCACAGAGCTTGGCTTGCCCGGCTTCGAGGTTGAACTGGACACGCAAAATAAATTACTGGTGGTGAATAAAAGAGAAAATTTCTGCGCACAACATGTAGAAATGAAATTGAGAACGGCTGCGAAAGATTATGAAATGTTAAATGTTGCCATTGAACTCATTGAAGCCGAAAAAGTAAATAATAAAAATAATGAATGTGATAACTCAGTCGAGGAAAAAATACAATTTATGCAGAAGCAGTTACATGAAAAAGAGGAGTGGAAGCAGTTAACTTATAAAAAATTCTTACTTATATTGAACGAAAAAAAGTTAGAAATTAACAAATTGAAATCTGACTTGGAAAACTCGGAGAGGGAGAAAAGGCGTGCTATTAAGGCACTTTGTGAAAACAGAAAAGATGCTGAAATGGATATGCAAGACTCAGATCATGAGTCCACTTCAAATACAACAGCAAGCAGTCACGAGAATAGTGTTTATGATGCTCCTACCCAACGTCTAACACCTCCTCCCACGTAATAAACAAATAAAGATTTCTGTAATATTTGAAGAAAGCTTAAGTACAAAGTAACTGTAAAATCCGTCTTTGCTTTTAAACATTATTATTGCAAATATAACTACATATGTAAAAATATGTTTTTATTATTTATGTATTTCATGAAAACAGGTTTTAAGCTATATGGGTTGTTTTACCTGCATTATTGTGACCCTTAGGGGATAAGTAAATAAATAATTACCTTTTTTTCCCCCTGTTATGTCCGAAATTGAAGGATCAGAACGTCCACAACGGGATATCGATATTTTCCGTGAGATATGAATGATATCGAAAATCGATAATTCTTCGAATGAAATGAGGGTTTGATCAAGAATGGGGTACGCCAGTCGAGGAGCATGCACGTCACAATTTTCAAAATCCATGCATACGTGCAAAATACCAGTATAAAATAACCCCTATATTTGAATTTTTCTATTTATAATTGCGATTTAAATGTGTGAGTTCAAAAAAAAAATCTGGTAAATGTCTAAATTTATAATTGTGAGTGTCGTAACTGCATTTGGAACAATTTTTGCAATCAATCATTCGTATATGCATTTAAGCAAATGGATATATTCAAATATATTGTTACGATTTTACTGAATCAACCTCGATTATTTTCTAGATCCTTCGGGTACGATCTCTGGATTGTTAAATAAAAACTCGCCAACTTAGTTTGCAGTTTCTTTCGTTATAAAGATTCTATCTAATGTCCTTTATTCTCTCAGTAATTCACAATTCAATTATACTGCACTTTACTATTTATAATCACTAACATCAACTTTCACAATTTCCTCTACTTAAATGTAATTCCCAACGCGTTCACTTTACGTCTTCACTGATGTTAACGCCAACCAATTTGCTTTGTCACTGCTTGACTTGCAGCTGAGTGTCGCCTTTATATAGCAGTCGGCTGCTCGCAGACGAAAGCGTAGAAGCATCGAATTGTTCGCTATGGAAGGTTCTTGTGTTATCGGCTTCTCTCTTTCATCTGACATTCGCCTCGCATTTTCGCAACAATATAATACATTCCTCCGAATATAATTGTATTGTGCTTCGCACTCTACCTACCACCTTATGTGAAAGGAGCTGTCGATTTTCGAGTGACTAGTTGCAAAGTAGATACAATCCTCATTGTTTATTTGTAAACGTCAATATAAGTTAAATTCAATTGTATACTTGTTAATTTGCCGTTTATCATTTGTTAAATTAACAATTAAAACTTATTGTAATAATAAAGTGCGCGGTATCGCCGTGTAATGAGTGATTCAGATGATACAGATATTCTGTTGTTAATACCACCGAATTACTTCGTCTCTGCTACGCCGGAGGAGTTGTTAGAGTTTCAAGGAATACATCCAGCAAGGACCGCAGCTGTCGCGCAGAATAATAGGAATGCTAATTACCTACATGATTGTTTCAATCGTACAAATCATTTATATGCTTCAAAACAAAATTTACAAAAAATGGACACAACTCTAACCGAGTCTAATAAAAATACCATATCTATTAATACTCAAAAGAACATGGATATGCTCTCAGCGAACAAATGTGTAGAACTTAATGAAATTAATTCACGCCTAAGGCTATTGGAACGTGAAAAAGATTGCCATTTTGCAGCAGCGTCAGATATATCTACCATATCCAATGGTACACAAGCAGAACGAAATAAACGGGAAGGTCTGGTACATTCCACGCCAAAATGTTATGCCGAAACCGATCGTCTTTATAATAATAATGCTAGAGGTATTTTAAACGAAATAGACAATTTCTTGGATGATCGAAATCGGGAAGAAATAAATAATGTGCCCACAGCACTGCAACAAGAAGCCTTAAACTTGAATTTAGTAATACCAGAAAAATTGGAGCAACAAAAAGATCGATATCAGCATGCTTATTCTGATATAAAAGCGGTTTATGGCACGGACGTTAACTTAATTAGCTTAAGTGAAATCTGGGGCAAAAGTGGCCAAGGTACTGCAATCGCTTGTCCTGTTCCACCACAGTCTGCGTATATAGAAGAACAGATAAGACGTCAACACCTAGAGCGCACTGTTCATTCGTTACAAACGCGCCTACTAGAATATCAACAAAGACTTTCGGTGGCTATAGAGGTAGATCGTGCTAAGGATGCTGCTATATGTAACGCACAAAGCGAATCTAAAGCGTAAGAATTATATTAATACATTTGAATATCAAAAACAATTATGACAACCATACATAACTTTATTATACAGCTTAGATGTAGAGCTTAAAGTGTTACGAGAGAAAGTTTCAAAACTGGAAGCGGATAAGTCGGAGTATAATACCAAAATAGAGACACTTCAAAAAGAATTAGCGCAGGCCGTCAACTTAGTAGCAAAATTTCAGGATAAAAGTGAAAAATTAGAAAATGAGCTTTTAAGCACGTCCAGGTATTAAATTTTGGGTTAAAAAAATATATTACATACGTTTATGTGGACTTGATTGTGATTATATATATATATATATTTTTTTAATAAAATATTTGCTAAAGTACTTCAAATATTACTTACCAACTTTGTTATTTGTATCATGGAACAGAAAGTCAAACGAATGTACAAATATGTATAAACAACAAATAGAAGAACTTGAAATTAAAATCCATGGATGTAAGAGATCGGAGGAGTTTGCTATAAATGAGTTAAGCAAGTTTAAAGATAAACTGGTAAAAGTAGATTATTTAAATGAAAAGGTGAGTTGAATTAAGTCATACAAATATCGAAAAACTTAAAATGAAATGTTTGAATTAAATGAACAAAAAAATTTAAAAAATATTTATACTATCACTATTGTTATTATCCATTTTTAAAGCTCAAAACCCGTTGTGATGAATTGGAAAAGGATTGTGCAACATTGAGAAATCAAAAAGAAACGTTGCAGGAATTTCAGCAAAAGCAAAAAACGCGTGCTGACACCTTAGAAGTGCAGAAAAAGTCCTTGCAAGAGAAAGTAAATAATCTAACGGAAAATGAGGTAAATATCTTCAGAATCAGTAATGAAAACAATTTAAAAAAAATCACTTTCATTTTTATTCTAAGCTAAATTTAAAGAAAAAAATGGAACTGCAGCAAAAATCTCTAAAATCTCACTACCAACAACAATTGGAAAATGCTGTGGAGCAAAAAATGAAAGAATTCCAACAACAACTGGACAAGAATGAGGAAATACTAAAATTAGAAGGGCGTGAACGGGAACGTTTAATCGCCGAACGTGCCGTAAAGCAAATAGAATTAATTAATGAGAAAAATGAAATGGAACTCAATTTGCTGCAAGAGAAACAAAAAGAAGAAGTCGAGCTATATCGTATACAACTTGCGAATGCCACAAAGAAAATTGAAGATTTGGACACAAAGTTGAATGCTTACAAAACCAAAAGGTAAATTATTATTTTTTCCTTAATGTTGTCTTATTATTTTATATGCCTAATTATTATTTTTTTTTTGTTTTCCCTAAGATCTATCATAGCAGAAAAGTTGCATGGGGTTATGGAAGATCAATGGCAAAAAGCATTAGAAATATTAACATCACCAAGTAATCAATCACAGCAGATTGGTAATAGTACCGATACCGATTCAGTGGCGAATAATGAAATTGAATTAAATAAAGGTGGTTGTGACTTTGAAACACCAAAGAAGAATAAAACGCGTGATAGAATATTAAAAGTCAAAGAAAACAATTTGCATAATATTAACGAGCGGAAGTCTTCCCCTGAACCGATGGACCGACTGCAGGCATATATTGAATTGGTTTGCTAATTGAAGAAATAATAAAATATATGAGTATATAATCAGTACTAATATTTATTAATTTGCTTTTTTCCAGTTGCTCAGTAAATCACCAAGTGAATTTGATAGATTAGATGAAATTTTAGCTTTAGCTAATAAATCTAAATCGTCGACATCCAATAATAAATTCGATAAGGATGATAAACATAAAAATTGCTGTAAGCCGCCTTGGCGCGGATAAAAGACTATTGGATTTAAATGATTTGATCAAAAAGAAAAGTTTTAAATTTAGATGAGGACATACAACAAACAACTCAAGTACAAAGTGTGGCGGTCAGTATTCGTACCTTAGATAAGCTTGTTTGTATTGATTATGTTGGAAAAGATGTACAAAAAAAATAATAATTTGTTTAAATTTTTTTTACTTGTAACCATTGTCAATTTCCTACGATTGTATAATAAGGTAGACAGTAAGGATTTTCTGTATCAAAAAAATTTATATTAAAGTAAAATATAAAAACAAAAAGAATAAATACAAAAATATCCATATTTTTTGTAACGTAATTCATGTAGCTGAAGGTTAAAAAATTATAGTCAGGTGAAGAAAAAAACTTTTAGTAAAAACCTTTGAGCTGTGGGAGACGACTTTCAGCTGTAGGTTGGTTAGGAAGCGCGAATTTCTGGTGATGTGAGGTTCCAATTACCGCATTCAATTTTATGGGTAAGAGACTCAAGTGACTGACAGTAAAAAATTTCAAAATATAGTCGTTCCCCTTAAAAAATGTTAGGCCAAATGTCTAGGTATATATAACAGTAGTCAGCATAACAGATTCGTCCGGGTCTAAAAAGGAGATTCGAGATGAAAAAATTAATTAACAATAGGAAGAAGACACTCTAGGTTGTCTCAGTTGGGGAGTTGAACAGTGGTTAAGACATTCAGATCCTTTTACCTGCCCCAAAAAAAAAAAAACTAATTGGAAAATAATAGACATAAAATCTTTTGTAAAACGTTATTGCTCTTTTATAGACACACATATGTATGTATAATAATAATCTTCAGTAAGTTTGTTTCATCTGTAATCACTTCACTACTTATAAGCTATTTGAGGAAATTTAGGCGAATTTCCATACAGTCCCTCAGTTTCCCAAACCTGAATATGGGAGTCCTTTGTTAGAGCGACGAGATGTTGATGTGTTGAGTAAACAATGCTAAAAATAAGAAAATGGGGAATTAAGTAAATAAGTTAAATATTTACTTCACACAGTTTTTTTTACCTTCTAATATTTGATATGCCTGTAATGATTTCACTAACAAAACTCAAATTCCAACTAGACCATAGACGTATTATACCACCTTCGATAGCTGTGGCTATGACATTTACGCCGACTCCTTCCTTGATATACGAATAGGTGGCTGCCAAAATGCGATCTTCATGCACAATATGTTGAACGTAGCGTGCATTTGCCGTATGTAATCTCATAATCGATTTACCATTCGGATTTATGGCGACATTCACGAAGTCATCTAAACTCTCTTCGGTCACCTCAAAACATTCATCGGGCACTGACGGTTGTGTTGGTGATGTTGTTGTTGATGATGATGGTGAAGTTATGCGTTCAGTACTTTGTTGTCGCTGTTGTTGGTTATTATCAACGCTGTTTGCATGTTGCCTTTCTGGTGAAGATCTTTGTACCAGTTGCTGCGGTGTGGTGTGCACTGTGATTATGTCCCCTAATGTAGGGCTTATGGTAATCACTGTTATTGGAGAGTGATGTATCTCTGTGGGTCTATCAATTGTGCGTATGTAGTTCCAGCTGTCAGGAGAAATACCAAATATTCAAAACTAAAATATCATTAAAATATGCCGATAAACTTACTTATTAAGATCCCAAATAACGGCTAGACCATCGCGTCCAGCTGAAACTGCAATCTTGAACTCAACAGACAAACGTATGTTGGTGACCTCATCGGAATGTCGCAGTAAAATTGTTGGTCCCGTCCAAGTAAGATCAGCGCAGTCTCGTAGAGGCGCGTCTGAGCTCGACGAGCCCAAGCCGGTTGAGCTTGATAACGGTGCCACATGACCGGATTCATTATCATCCGAATAACTTCTAGTGGTTGTAGTTAGTTTGCGAAATGCTGAATTGTAAGATCGCCGTAAGCCGCGTATATAATTTTGTCTGCTCTTGACTGCTCGACTATGAAGTTCCGCATTGCCGCATTTGTATATACTTATGCGACCGGACTTGTGTCCAAACCAAAGCTGATTTGAGTTCGGATCGGCTCCGCAGGCACTAATATCATCAATCACTTGACTGCGTAGTATATTTTTCGGTTTTGTAAACAATTTATTTAATGGTTGTATGCGCACAATGTGATCATCGTAATGCCAAGATATGACATTGAAAGTATCGACCTCAGCACCTTGCATAATACACGATTTTGTTGGTAGTCCATACACGGCATTTGTATTATTGAACGAAACTAAGTATTCAGCGCCCGGTATTTTGTAAATATTTCCGAGCGTTGGAGTTGGCAGCTGAGGTGATCCCAAGTAGACACCCCATCTCAAGCCCCGCACAGTGGGTAATACTTCTTTGTTGACGAGGCAATAATTTAATGTTTTCGTTTGTGGATGAGCATTTTTAAACAGCTGTCTCGGCATTTGTCCATACGTTTTGATCATTGTTTCTACCGCTTTGAGTTCAATGGGATCTGATGTAATGGAATCCAAGAATGAAGGATATGTCTAAAGAGAGACGTTTAATTTTTTTTCTCGAATATTAAATAATAAGCACATTTACCGCTGGATGAAAAACATTAATTGCTTCGACTGCATTTTCGCCAGATTGTTTATAGCCGAAAATTAAGTCTACCCAATGATGTAGTTGATTACGCGCCAACTCTGCTTCCAAAGCTTGACGATGTATCAACACGAAGAGACGTGCATCCCGCTGGCACCAAGGTGGCAGCTGAACATCTTCAACGCGTTCACCATTTTGTCGGCAGCCGAAATCAAAACGTTCGAAATTTTCAAACATTTCTGGCAAACAGAAAAATTCAGGTATGAGTTCTTTAACATCAGTGGGACTATCACGGCTCGCCAAGTTCCACGTAGTGTTCAGAGAGTGAAATGTACGATCAGGTAGATCGAAATTATTGTCTGAAAACAATAAATGAAGAGGATGCTAAGTTGTGATGGCCAAAAAAAACTCCACTTTATAAAAAGCTTGAAAGAGATGACATTATTTACCTTGATATCTTAGGAAATAACTCGTAAAAGGTGGTACCCGCACGAGAAAATGAAGAACCGTGCCAGAATTCGAATAATGTGAGCTATAATGATAAGGCTTCAGTGTTAAAGAACCCATATTAGTCATCGTATTGTTGAGATACTGTTAAATAGAAAAGCATTTTCGTAAAGAAATATAAATAAACCACGTAGCGTTACAGTTGAAATACCGTGTAATTGCTAATATAATGTTCCTCATTCTCTTCATGCTGCACAGCGACTGGTTTTTCCAACTTTCGAAAATTCGTTATATCAGTCAAATCCAAAATATCGGAGGAATAGTTTGATAAAATCCATGGAAATACCGGATATTGCATGAGATCATTATAGGTGCGTCCAGCTATTTGGTTGAGTGTCATTAAATATTCCCAATTGGTCAATAGACCTTCGCGCCATTGTTGCGTGATTACAAGTATCTTTGCTTGATCGGGATGTGTCACAATTTTATCGCAAAACACATCGTACATAATTTTGTAATCCTCTTGATTTTGTAGTGAGAAAAATAGCGATTGATTTGTATCTAAAAATATTTCGAAAGCTTTTTCTTGATGCTGATAACGTTTCAGCCAAATTTCACTTATACTCGAGATATCACAGTTAATGTAAAAGTATTTGCAACGATATGTTGCCATAAAGTATAATTTATGATCGGTTATAATAATTTCACCATCAATTTCGCCATCAACTGGTAAAAATTTGGCAGGAAAATTATAAAGTATTTGAGAATTGAGCGATATATTGAGCTGTTGATCATAACTGGATAAAAGATATTCCAATGGTCGTATGAATTCGTTGCCAAAGCAAGCACTGGTACTCATGCTAATATCATTGTTTCGTAATTCAATATTGTAATAATCTTCCATGAAAAAACGTTTATCGATATCCAAGTGACAGCGACGCAAACGGGTATGCACTCGGGATGGGCCTTCGGTATCATCTAATTCCCAAAAACTGGCGAATAATTAAAGTTTTTATAAAATCTTGGAATTTATCCTTTTTGGTTTACAACTTTTAGAACTTACTTTTCCGAGCGTTCCTTTGAGTACCATGGCGCGCCTTCGTGTGTCATGCGGCGTACAATACCCAACCATTTATTATAAATGCTGGCATCATCGTAGTCTTTTAATTGATACATTAGTAGCTTGCGTTCGGAGTTCTTTAAATAAAAATATAGTTTTATAATATTAATTTAATACTTTACTTTATTGTATTGCTAACCTGTAATTCCGCAACACGCCTCGTGTTCAACATGGATGATTCAATGCAGCTCAAAGCCAATGATTCCGAACGATATACCGTCTCGTCTAGCTTACCTTTTTGTTCAGTTGCTATAGCGTTGCGATTCAATTCTATGCGTTCCAACTCACTCTCTAAATTCCATGTTGAATCATGTTCATTTATACCCAAATGCTTGCATAAATGCTGCAAATTCTCCAATGGCTTCTGCAAATCCTCCAACAAACATAACCATAAGAATGTTTTAATTATTTTGCCATCACCTATAACCGGTGGCATGAACTCAGGTTGGCAAGCATTCCAAAGTGCATTAACAATGAAGGCGCGCAGTTCACGCGGTCGTGATGGTTGTAGGCCCCAAGCTATAAAATTATTACAACGCTGACTAGTGGCGATGCTGTAAGCAACAATAAGTTGGAACAGTTCGATTTCTGGCGTGCTGGGCGTGTATTTAGCATCACAAATGGTAAAGAATTGGGCACAGCGATCGATGAGTAAGCGTAAGCGTTCTTTAGTTTCAGCTAGTGATAGTGATGAATTCGGCAACGTTTTTACTAGTAAATAGTTATATGTAGATGAGTTGCAAATTCTGGCGTTTTGCTATTTTCTTTATAAAATTATACCTTTGAAGTTTCTCGGCTCATTTACAGACTCGAAAAACATGCTAACCCATTTATATTGCAGACGTGCTTGTGCTGAGCGTAAATTCTTTATAACCGAACCGATTGCGCCTTCGTGTAGAAAGGTGAGCATATTGAGTATATCCCAAACAAACTAAGAAGATTTTTCTCCAATTTAAAGCAAATTTCAATATAGATTTGAAGCACTCACCTTTATTTGACCCACAGATACCAAAGATTTTTCGCCTATTCTCGTTAAAAGCACTAAAATTGATTCTTCCAAGCCCACATCAACAACGGTTGAGCAGAGATATAAAATAAAAAGCGATTTAATGCAACAAATCAGTAAGCCGGCTTCAATTAAAAGCTGTTGCTGATCACCATCCTGGAAAATTTTGCACAAATTTAACTCAATATTAATTACTGTTCAAATTCATTTAGCAAATATTTGTCTACTTTAGTACAAACCGTATTGAACATTTTGTTTAATATCTTAAAGGCTTTCGCTTTTTGGCTGCCCTGTGTGTTGGGCATATTTATCAAAACTGAGAGTAGCGTATTTATGCCGAAGCGTTCAACAATCTGGAGTGGCATATCACAACTCAGGATTTTCGTTGTACTATAATATATGCCGGTAACCCATTCCAAGCAAGCTTCAAACATTTGCATATCGGTTGTATATATAGACATTTGATTAGCTAAGTGTTGTGGATATAGGTGTTTAACATGTTGGCCAATATCACTCGGTTGCAGACGCCTTAAGAGTACGGCTAATAATTTGATTATGGCCGTACGCACAGCGCAGCTATTATTATTGCATAATACCAGTAGAATATCGACTTTAACATAATGCTTGAGCACCTGTTGATGAACGAGAATTATCAAATTAAATAATAACATGTAATTAGCATATGCTTAACGTTACCTCATCCACAGCATTGTCTGGCAACAAGCAGAGAAAATTCTTTAGTAACGTTAATAAGCCCTCTTGTAAGGCAAGAATACCCGGCCAATTGTAGAAATCCGTTTTTACCAACACTCTGTTACGTCGTTGTTGTTGCGTCGTTGCTGGCGATATGACGGAAAAGCCTAAATGATGATTGGAGATAGTTTCTTTATCCGAACCACCACCATCAATGCTGGAAATTGATCCTTCCATTAACTGTGTATCACGTTTGCGCAGCTTTCGATTTTCGTTGTTACATAGTACATGATTACAAGAGGCATGTCTCAAACGCTTGTGAGTAATTCTATTAGGTGTATATGTTGATAGGTATAACTTCTTTTCAGCATTCAGGGCTTGTGATTTTCTCATTGGACTTGTTGATGAACACCAATTAGGTGAAGTGTATTTGAATTTTGTACGCCAATTTTCGACGTTAACTGGACTTAGCAAACGCAAAGCTTTCTTATTTAATCTCGCACAGTCAGCAACATTTTCCAAATTATCTTCGAGTTCCAGTAAATTGCGCTTGTGTGGTGAGCTTGCAGCTGTTATGTGTAATCTACGCAAGCATTTAATACGCTCATTTTGTTTCGTATTTATTTCTGTTTTGTCTGCACTAATGGTCATGGTAGGACCAGGTCGATCACGTTTGGACTTGCGTCGAAAAGGTGTTGTGACGAGTTCAAAACTTGAAGCAGCTGTTGATCTTTCTTTAACTGGCGGTTGTGGTGTGAGTAGAAAATAGAATTTTGCTCTATCGTGTGTGATGTAGCATTCACTGGGCTTTTGCAACAACAATGCAAGCTTCATTATTTCATCCATAAGAGATGTGGAAGGCGGTGAACCGGCAAAAACGGATAGTATACCAACAAATGACTCAGCTGCACACTTGGATATGTAAACGGGATTTGGCGACTCAATAACATAAACTTTACATAAATTGAGCAATTCTTTGAGCAGACCGGCTTCATTCAATTGATCTAAATTTAAATCACGATGTGGATGCTTTTCACGTGTCAAAGCTAAAATACAAAGAAAAAGCATATCCAACACCTCGGAATGTTCGACGCCCGAGCGATGCCAGTCTGAGTAACGGTGTAGTATAGAAGTTATCAGTTGTGGATATACAACTATGGCTGTGGAGTTTTCATTGACTTCCAGCGCGTCGCCTTTTTTATTTATTACTGGCTGTGAACAAGCATTATTTAGTATGCTGCGTAAGAGATTCACATCTTTCGAACAACGATCAGTTTTCACCACATAACCGATTAGATTCATATAATTGATGCGTAAAAATTCGGCATATAATTGTGAGTCAGATAAGGCTAGATTTAGAAACAAATCCAATGCCATATACTGTGACATTGAATTGCTGCTTAGCTCGACAACCTTGAGGATTAAACAAATATCAATATTAAACAAATTCAGCTCGAGTATTAGTAGTAGAGTAGTGTATAATAAATACCCTTGCGAATAAATATAGATTTGTAGAAAGCCCACCGGTTAATTGAGTAGTTGATTGCAAGGAACGTAAGTGATTTTGTGTCAGTTCACCATATAAAACCAAGCCAAAAGCACGACCAGCTGCAAAAAAAACGGAGATAAAAAATTCAAAATTCTTAAGTAATTTAAATAAAACAAGCTAAGTATTGAGATGTAACAAAAAACAAAACTCACCATTCACCACACTACCTTCTTTTGCATTCATTTCACTATTAAAACACATTACAATATCCGGCGACTCGGCAGTGTACACCAGCACACGCGCCTCATACAATAAACGCATGGCTTCCGCCACATTACCGAAATTCGCTTTCTTGATTTTGCTTAAATTAACAAAGCCATAATTAGGTCGCCACGAATTGACTTGTAGTGGCGCAAGTTCGGAAAAATCTGGACCCATTGCTGTTAAATTCGCGATTGTTGCCCAAGCGGTGATTTTACAATTGAATAGCAGTAAATTGGTTACGCCAAATGCCATTGGGCAACCATCAACAGTGGTGCGTGATGCAGTATTTTCACCAGTGTTGGCAGCGCTATTGACTGGATGTACACTGTCGCCAAGACAAATTATTTGAAAAGCGTGATTTCTTTGTAGAGTACGTATGTTTCGTAAATGCAAATAGACAAATTCCTGTTCCACACCATCAACGTAGACCTTTAATTCCATATGATCTTGATGTGTGCATACACTAAATGCAATATGTGTCCAGCGATTGCGTGTGAATCGAAATGATTTCAGTTCCACCGATGCGATCTCACAGGATTGGTTTTGGCTGTGGTATTTAAAGAGATGCATATTGTTAAAACTGTTCAGTATAACAAGTTTGGTTTGTTTTAGAGCAACACGCAATGTGGATGGACTCGTTGCGTTGGTTGGTGAAGTGACTGGAGTTGCTGATTTGGAGTTAGTGGGACTACTATGATTGATGTTTCCATCCGCTGACTCTTTTGATGTATTTTGAGCGGTCGTCTCTTCGAGTATAGTGCCGGTTGGCTCCGTTGGTGTTGGTGCTTGTGTTTGTGGCTGAATTTCAGCGTTAGGTTTGCTCGCTTCAAAAACCATTTTCATCTCGCGATTTACATAAACGCTTAGCAATACTTGATTGGTACCGATGGATAAAATGTGTGTTTTCTGTAGGAATTTATTTTTAATTTAGTTATTAAAACAATATACTTGTATTTTTTTTTCTTTTTTTGCTCTTCTACTGCAACTTACATGACTCTCCTCCTGCGTACTGCGTGTTTCATCTTCCAAATGCACTGTTGAGGACTTGTTAGCATGTCCAGCCTTCATTTGCAGCCAAAAGGCGAGCGTAAGCCCATCATTACCCCACACTCGTGCGTGTTGAATAGGTATAATACACGGTGTGCGTGATAATGGTGTGATGGCTTGCGCATTTATATGCATATTACGTATTCGATCGATTTCCATTGTTAAGCGTTGATCGCTGGTTGAGGTACATTTACCATCTATAAAGAAAAATTTATATTAATTGTTATCATCACCAATTGAGAGACTGGCTGAACTAGTTACCAATTGATATGGGAAATTCCAATTCCACCATAGCTTGCGGTTTTCTCAATTTACTGCTACAAATATGACTGAGATATTTCATGAGCAAATCGACAGGTGGATTTTTTGCAGCCAAAATATTAAAATATGTACATAACATTTCTGGAGTATTGATATCCACTATTAGTTCCAGCAAAGATTGTTGAAGCTCTATATAAATAAAGAAAAAAACATGAGTTTCACCTGAGCTTTATAAATATGTTTGAAAATAGTATATGTATGTCTTAAAGGACCAAACTCATTTGTACAAAATTTTTAAAATAACTTATTGACAAACCTAGAAGAAGACTAAGTACGGCTGTAACCGAGGTTTAGATACGGACTTATATATCTATTAAATCCACGGATGGATCAAAAATTAAATATCTGCTATATGAAAGGTCAATTCGTTTTACGGAGCTACGTCAGTAATTTTCAGTAGGACTTTATACCCCATATAAAGTGGCATATCTATGGCTTAGTTGGCTTAGTTCTGTTGTTAAATATTCACTCTTTCGTCAAGCGGGAGAGTGGAAAATAAAAAGTTGATTATGTGAATGGAAAACGAAATTGTAAGCCGATTGTGTTAATTTTGTATGAACTAACTTTCATCAAAATATTGCGATGCCTACTGGAGTTATCGTGTATACCGAGGGACCGACAGACGTGGCAAAATCGATTCATCTTACCATTACATGAATTATGATTAATAAATGAATATATATATGTCCATATCTATCATGATTATCTTATGCCGTTGTAGCAATGCTATAAGGATAAATCGAGTGTCGCCTAGATGTAGGCAACATGTTTTTGTAAATAAATTTTTCGTTATTGCTCTCACTAAAAATAAATGTTGCCTACATTTAGGATATTTTTAAGGTACTGATATAAACCTTAAAATAAAACAATCCCATATTTGCACCCTTTGTGATACGCACCTTTCAAACGCGGATCACCACACTTCAAAACAGGCGCAAATCCTCGCAGCAAAAACAAAGAGTCTCCAATATGCGAACGTATGACAAAGAGACGATTTGCCAATTGTACCAAACATTCACTCCAACCCGCTGGGTTTTGAATGCAACGCTCTGATAACTCGATCAGTATCTCTACAACCAGCTGACAAAGACCATCGTGCAGCAAGTGGGCACGATAGCGTGAACTTGGTTGAAAAGAGTTCCAGAAATCTTGCTTATTATCGAATTCAGTTTCTGATTCGGATATTTCCGGTATCTCGCCATCAGCTTCATAGCCCTCGTCAGCCGTCATATAGCGATCTTCATTCTCATTCTCACTCAACTCCATCTCACTCTCACAGAAAATCGACAAACGTGCGGAAAAGTAGTCTATATCAACATAATCACCGGATGCAGGACGCTTCGAACCAGTTGTATGCGGTGTGGACACGTTGCTACTTTTATGCTGAGTTTTTGCATTGTTAAATGAGCGTGCTCGTGGACGTAAAGGTGATTGTGGATCTGTATCTATATCTATACTTGCATTATTTTCATAGCCTTTACTACTATTCACATCTGTGGTGGTTGTGGTTGCTGCTACGTTGTTGTTGTTGTTGGTGTTGGTAGTGGTTTGTTCTGCAATTTTAAGTAGACTTTGCAATGCTTTAAGCACAGCATTTTCGCGCGAATGATCTTCTGTGTGCGTTTGACAATTCTTCGTATTGCCGTAGCTCAGTATTACCGCCTTTAGCGTCCGCAAGTGATTTTGCATTGTGTCTGTTAATAAAAATGAATCGAGATATCAATGTTCTTCACACCTCAAAGATGCATGCAAATGTTTTAATTTACTTATTTATAACATGGTGAATTGTTAGTGTGAATTTTAAGATAAGATTACGGCAATCATTGAGATCAACATTGCTTAGTGAGCTGGTTTCTTATTGTTATCTTAAAGATACATATCTCTGTATTTATGTAAATATTTATAAGAATTTGAAGATCACTTTTCTTAAATTATGGGTATGGTGTGCAAATGCACTGACTGCAATATCTTTGCTGGAAATAGTAGTAAGAAGAAATGGAAACCAATCTTAACGATTTATGTTTTATAATTTTGAAAACAGCGCTTTAAAGCCATTGAGGGGATTCGCGGTCGAGCTACACATTCAATTTACGGTCGATACTGGTCCAATGGACTGACGAATTACAGTACACACTGCTAACTTTTCGGCTAATGCGACCGACTTATAATAAATTAACATAATAAATTAAATATTGTATAAAAAATAATAAAAAAAACGTCTAAGAAAGGATTCATCTACAAGTTCTTAACATGTGCCCATTCTTGTAATTTTTAATGTTTTTGTTTGTTCTCAAGTAGTGCTGATTACAACATATTTCAAACGATCCCGATGCTGTCAATCCCGAAATAATTATTTTGTTGTTTTTATCTAGTGTTTCTTTTATTATTAATAGGCACATTGTAAGTATAAAAGCAGATGAGACATAGTTAAGTTTTAATACATTTAGAAGGATTTTTAATTAATTAAAAAAAAGCAAGGTTACTAAGAGTAAGAAGATTTTCTAAGTTATAATATCTCGTACCAAAGCAACAAAAAGACACAGATAACCTTATTAAGCAACAAACGCACTGTCTCCTTCGCCAGCAAGTCAAACTAATTCTCGACATTTTCTAATATTGATCAATAAATCTGTGTAAATTTATTGCATTAAGCTGACTTTTACTATAATTTTTCAAGTATACTTTTGTTCTTCAAAAACTATTTTATCAATTTCAAAGTAATCTCGGAAGACTTTTTACATTAAGCGGCGGGAATGATCATCAATTCCTTCCGTAATTCTTGTTGAATCTCCTCAAGCGATTCACCGATGCTCATTGACATTACATATTTTGTGCTTCTTTACTAAGTTTAATATTAAGTTTAAATGAAGAGTTGATCACTTTAACAGGCCTATTCTCACTGTTACCGGTAAAGTAAATTTTGTTACTTTTTTTTAACACCCGAAATTGAATTTGGTATTCTTGTGAACTGGTTACAATGTTTGAAAAAAATTTGGCAGCACTGTTTTTTTTGGACATTGGTAAATTATTTTTGCCAGTTGATAAAGTAAAGAGAAAAATATTCACATCGATGTGGAAGCCGATGCACAAAAAAATTAAAAAGTTTCATTAATTTGTTTATTAAATCATAAATATTTGAACCTAATTATGGAAAATATGCATGGACAACAAAAAAAGCTGAATGAAAACGTTATCTTACAAATTAAAGGGTTATTTTTTAGTCTAGAAAACTTTTTAAAACACGGCTTTTTGCACTTTTTTCTTCATCTTCAATGAATTCCTGGTCTAAAATATGCCTACCGATTTTGGTTTTTTTTTTTCTCAAACTTACAGCACTAAATCAAACACTAGATTCTTTGTTACCTCCTATTTCGCTGGTAACAAAATTTACTGGGTAACAATGAGCTCAGAATACGAAATGGTAACAAAATTTACTGAATGGCAAATTTTAATTCCTAGGTAAATTTTGTTACCTCGACAGACTGTAAATCTCAGTTTAATCCTCACAAATCCCGCAGATCCCGAAAAAATGTGTATATCTCTATTTTCAGTCAGCATTTGTATGGCTTCAAAGCATGCGTACGAACTTTTCAAGCTATTGCATACAAATGCTAGGGAATTAAATACATATGCTTATACGTATGAGTCTGAGCTCAAAGCCATTTACCGCAATAAAACCGTGATGACAAACCCTTTATGAAAAAACACTCGCTGTACAAAAAGCGACTCAAAATAGTTATTTTCGGAAAAAACAACGAAAGTGGAAGCCATTGAAATAAAAATAAAAAAGTTGCGAAAAAATAAAACCAAAAAAAAATTGTAATAAAGAAAACAAAACAAAAAAATTATAAATTGAAAAAGTTCAAAAAAATATATACATATATAATTATTAACCTTTTTAAAAAGAAATTAAAAAAAGTTCAAAATAAATTATTAAAAGGAAAAACCATCGATTGTTTCCATTGATATAAGCGAAACATTTAGAAACTCACGATTCGACAGCGGTTGCGTTCAAAAACTCAGATTTAAATACACCGAGTAATAACGTACAAAACCCGAGTGCTCAAGTCCGAACAGAGAACGTTCCTTGAGCGGTTCCAACATTGCACAAAGTTAACTTAGTTATGAGGTTACGACTTTTTCAAGTGTTTTTTTTTTCATTCGCTAGATCTTTTTGTGCTCTCGAATGATAAATTTATAGCAAAACAGCTATTGTGCAAAAATATTTTTATGTATCACAACAGTTACTCACCCACATCACCTTTGAAACCTTTTATGCTTATAGCCATTGTTGTTTCGAACAACCTTAGCAGATATCTTTTACTATCGTTACTAGTCTCCAGCAAGCGAATAAGGTTCGGATCAATTTCACGCCCTCGTGACCCTTCAGACGAGCTTTGGTTTAAATCTTGCACCGAATTCGTTTTACTGCCGACAAAAAATGAGCCGAGTGCACTAATAAATTTAGTAAAAATGCTAATGCCGATGTTTAGTACAGCTGCTTGTGTCTCTGGGCGCTCAACCAGTGAGGAGGTAGAAAGTGCGTCGGCAGCACAGTTCCATACAGTTGTGTTGGTCAATGGACCTACGCTGAAAGCGATTAGGGGTGAAGCTGTTATGGCGTTTGATGTTAAATTTGTTGTCGCGCGTGAATTGAGTTGATTACGTACGTCGAATATAACTATGCTACCGTTATTTTCCGACTCAACGCTGAGTACATCGCCCAAACAACCTAAATTTTGTTGTTTTATGTTGTTTAAGAACGACAGATTATAAGCTTCAGCATAACACTGTGTATCTCTATCAAAAGTGTGATCTTTCTGTGCAAAATATTGATTCTCATGCGATGGCGCGTTAGAGATAGCGGTAATTGTTGACGCATCCGATGCAATCGATGAACTAATCGACTCAAACATTTGCTTAGCCGCATCTACTTCTATGCTAGAGAGCAAATATTCAAGTGAACTTGACAAGTAACAAGACTCTTCTTTGTTGGCTTCGGGGTTTGCATTGTATGTTTGTGTGCTATCCATTGGGGATGATGTTGTGGCACTGATACGGTGAGGTGAATGTATGAGTTTAGAAGTATTCGATGATTTGCGTTGTGAGAGTTGCAAAAAAGTGCATAATGCATTATAGTTTAGTTTAAAAATATCATCCATAGTTTTGTCGCTAAGCAATTTGTTTTTATTACAGCCCTCTACATTTGTGGATTGCGTTTGGATGTCATTATCAGTAATCGTTATTGCATTATTTTGGTTTAAATTATAACGTATGGAGAACTCATTGAAAAAATAGTGGCTAGTCTGTAACAGTTCATAAATGAAGGACCACTGCAGAGCTGTGACATACAAATTATCCACTGCACTTAATACTTTTGGCACATCCCCCACCCTTCTATCGTTACCACCATTACTCTGCGTAGGCTGTTTGACGAGTGTATTGAATTGTGTCGCGTTATCGCCACTGGCATTCAATAGTAGCGTAATAAGGCGTTCACTCAAAATACTTTGCTCATGATCACTTTCGCCCAAAAATGTCACATTATCAATGCCGATTTTTATAAGCTCGCATATACTATGCACCAAAACCGGTTCGCAGAAGAGATCCTCTAAATGTGTTACGTTTTCTTCATTGTAGAAAGCTTTTATTAAACGTATATCTATGCCTAAGTAGGCAACGAAGATATTCAAACAATCCTGCAAAATGTTCGAAGGAGAGATTGTGACATCAGATTTCAATTTTGTATCAGGACTTGATGTGACGAAATGGGTATTCGCAGGCGCAGGTTGTTGGGCAACACCAGTGTCCATTTGCTCATTACTTTTAGTATCTAATGTATTATTTGCTTTGCGGTTTTCAAACATTTCTGCCTTAAATTTACGAAATGTTGGTAAAACGATCTCAGCCAAAATACCAGCAGCCATGTCACTGCTTAGTGTATCTGATATGTATTTCAAATGCTTTAACAATGATTGGAGCGCTTGGATCGTATTAAGGCTGCCCTCTGTACAAAGTTTTTCATATATCTGCTTATATAACTGTAAAATTTCCTTGCGAAACTCTAGTGACTTAAATTTTATATCACATTTGGCACAACCTTCCGCATGTCTTCTATTCTCAGCACCATAATCTTGCGCAAAGATAACACAAAGTACACGATGATGTAGAAATTTATAAGTACAATTCTGATATAACGGTGTAAGATTCAAAATTAATTGCAAACATGTCGCGTACGTGGTAATTGTATAGTGGCAACAACAAATACCGATGCGTAGCAAATAGCGTATAGCGTATTCCTGCATATCAAGGCTAATTTTGGGTATTAAACTGAGCAAAATGCCCTGAAAAAAGCAGCTTAAGGTCGGCACTTGTGCTAGGCAATGGACTTGTCGAAAGTGATAGCATTTTCTGCGTGTATTAAAACTATTTTGGGAATTGGTAATGCCCTTAACCGTTTGTTCGTTTTTGAAAAGTTGTTCATTAATTTTTATCAGTAGTTTAAATGTCAACACAACCAGTGTACGCGGCATGGTGTCTTCATCGGCATCGTTGCTTATGTTTTGCAGAAGTTTTTGAAATGTTTCAATGCTCACATCAATTGCACTTTCATCGATAAACTTTAAATTTTGTACGCTATTCTTATGTCCACCAATTGGATTAGGTTTCTTCGATTTATAAAGTTGTATAAGGATTTTTTGTAGTATATCGAAAAAAATATAGTTGGTTGCGCTTAAAAATTCCAATAAAAAATTAAGTGGCAAGCAATCATTATATACAGAAGACTTTTCCGTTTTCCGTTCTGCTGCTGTTTTAATAGCATACTTTCTTAATATGATAGATAATTTTGCAAACACATTTTCAAACTGAATAACACTCAGGCAGGAGGAGGCATTAAATATATTATTAATACAACGTATTGTAAGCTGTAGTAGTTCGAGTTTTATTGTGGCGGCATTCCCCTGTGTTTCATATATAACACCATCGGCACATAAACATTCTAATGCGAAATTTAATGCTATCACGGTTACAGATTGTGAAGTGAGATTATCTTCACATTCGTTTGCAACGCATTTCAACATAAGTTGCACAAGTATGTAAGCGATTTCGTCACTACTCACGATGGTGTTACGAAATATCTCGAGACCTTCCTCGAATTCCAAAGGAAATGTAGGTGCTTTTGCCTTTAATTTAATTACTGGAGTATTAGCTATTCTTTGAAGACTTATGCTGGACGTTTTCAGCGTTGAAATAGTAGCGATTGCTGTGAGTATGGATTGTGACGTATTCAATGCAATATCTATTGAATTCCATTTACAGTTTGGAAATAGTTTAATACACAAACTGCAAAGACCATTTTGTGAAGCGATAAGCTATAAAAAAAGTTATTTTATAAAAAAGGTTAATTTTCAATTGCGTACTTCGAAATAAAAGCGTACCTTAATGTCTACGCGTAAAAGGAATCTGAGTAAATGTTTGCCCACATGATTTGTTAAGAAATTGCGTAAAGCTATGATTTTGCCCCAATCACTTGGTGCATTTAGTATAAGCTACACAGGGAAAAAGTGGGAAAATATATAAAAATATGCATATGTTTATATATACGAGTACAAGTCTGAGTCTATAAATTACCGGTGTAAAACTTTGATTTGTCAGCAAGGAATTCGCCGCAATTGAGCTGGTATTGCTTATCGCATTTTGAGCTAGGTCAGTGCTACCGCCTTCATTGGTTTGTAAAGGTATTGATAAGTGTGATGCATTTATGATGTTACAAACCGACTCAAGGAGATAAGAGGTAATTTCTTCTGGAATATTATGTATTAAACTGTAATGAGATTGAAAAAAGTGTTAATAAGTATAATATTATTTATTTTTTCTTTGGCATCAATAAATAATATTAATGAGGCCATTTCAAATTACAGATTACTATAGAGCCATCGTTTTTTTTTACCTTTTTATATAGCTTGATTGTAAAGCCTCCTCCTCCACATATTGAAAATAAAATAGAAAAAGTTCGATCCAATGTAACTGAAATATAAACAAATTACAACATGTCAAGTGTAAAAAATACTCAATTGTACATAAATACATATGTACACAAACAAACACTCACTTTAGCATTAGTATCACCAGTATTTTGATAATTTCTCCAAATTGTGCTCAAAGTTTCTGCAAGTAAATCAGCAGGGTCTCCCACCTGTGTGGCTTTCTGCTCCATTATTTGCTCGAATTACATGAAAGCAATATTTTAACGGCTTAATTTTGTAAATAATTGATTTTATATTGCTTGGTGTCTGAATTGGCATCAGTTGTAGATATAAATATAAATTTAACACTTTCTATAGAAATAAATTAGCGATTAACTGGTTTGGCTTCTGAAAATTAAATATATTAGGTAATTACAATAAAATTTTCAAATAAATGATTGCAAAGTATGCAAATATTTCAAAGCATAACAGAATTTTATATACTATTGTAACAGTTAACAAGCAAGCAAATATATATTAAGGCGTTGTAATCTAAAGCTATCGCCATGGTCTACTGCAGAAAGAAAATTATTGTTTTTTTTTTTATGAATCTCGCCTACACGCACAACCGCTGATTAATACAGTCAATTTTACTGTTTATTTATATAAGTAAATATGCGTGCATGCGTTCTTAAATCAACATATTTAAACATACATACATATGTACATGTAATGTAATGTTAAAAGTTGAAGAACACGTACATTTTAATAATCTAAAAAGAAAATAATTTTAAATGACGACAAGTAACTGTTATTTACATATATGTAAGACACAAAACTTTCACTTTTTATCAGTTTTAAGTGGATTTTTCGCTAAAGGCAACCTGGCAACCCTACAGTAAAAGCAAAATATAAACAACTCCCCAATCAGGTAAAATCAGCAGGGCATAACCAAAATTTTTTACCAATTCTTAATTGCGTAGTAGTTTTACTTTTACACAAAATCTCAAATGATCATTTATTATTTGAAATGAATACACAGAACCGAAAACATTGCACACTATTTATGCTGCAGAAGCACTACTTATCTGTTATTTACCAAGGAACCCTATCTTCAAACGTATCACAACAAACAGCTGATCCAGGCTTATCTCTGGACACAGGTAATAATCTTCAATATTCAAGTAACCAAAGAGTTTATTTTATAAATTTATAATGATTTTAAACACCTGTTTTCCTTTCTTGTAAATAAATTTCAACAAACAATGCAAGTAATGATGCGTTTTGTTCTCTTGACAAGCTAAATGCAATTCTTTCAACAAATTTTGATGTTACCGTATCACATTTTGATTCAGTTTGCGCAAACTAATATCGATAGCTTTAATCGATTAAGGAAAAGTTTTCTTAAATGCTAATTAGATTTTTCAGCCTTATTGTATAGCTCAGCCGGCATAGAACAATTGTGCAGTTATCACTAGAAAAACGGTTGCTATATTGGTGGCTATAGTCTTTTCTCATACTCTTGTGACTCTCAATTTTTCTTAGCTGTTTTTGAAACAGTGATTTTTCTGAACTCGACTTCAATACGGCCATCTATTGGCACGTCACTACTTACCTAATACTCTACCCGGTGTTCTTTAGCTTGATATGCCACAGACACCAATGATGATTAAAGTTTTTTGTTCGTTATCATCATCACCAATCGCCCGATTTTTTTTTTTTTTTGAATTTCGTATGCTCCGAATGCCAGTTTTTATGAGAAGCTCACACTATTTGGAAATGAGTAGGTCACAGGTAGGTAGGATCCTCTCGGCTATAAGGCGACTCTTTAACTTTGAATCTAATATTTTTATTGATTACTTCGATAAACGAAATAAATCGATGAAAGCTTTTGCGATGAATAGTTTTAACACATCAGCATTTTTTGATAATTAAGCTCTAATCTTTTTGGTGCTTTTATTAAGAAAACTAGAAATAAACTATACCCCTTGTCTTCAGTGTGGAACATATATTTAGTACTTAAGTCACGCTGGTCTAGTCTTGTTCAACAGGTAGTATATCTGCTTAGTTAAGTGCTCTCTTTTCTTTGAATTTGAATTTTTTTTGTAACTAAATTTACGCACTTCGTTTTACAAATATGTTGGTGCAACAACTAAGAAAAGTTTTGACAAACAACAATATCTACAGTCAACATTCAATCAAGGTTAGTAATGTGAATATGAGATACCGGTATCTTTTTAAGATACATATATATATGTACATATGTACATAGTTGTTCTTCTCGACATATGTGTACAATTGTAGCACTCTTTAATTATGACACCTAAATTTTTGCATAATTATATATGTATGTATGTACATCGTATTTGCATACATAATACATACCTATGTATGTAAGTTAGTGTATTTGTCAAACTAATTTCAGAGAACTTATAATAACGAGAAGCACCAGGATGTGCCGATTATCAAATTGGTCCGCTGGCTCGTGTTATGAAAGCGTATTTCAACACACAAATCTGAAAGCGTATTTCACCGCACTCTAACAGTGAGCAGACAGAAATCGTGCTCAAACTAGCAGAATGAGCAAGTTTTTTATGTAAAATGAGAAAATGCATGCGAAATAAATGTAAAACTGATAAGCCTATGCAAGATAAATGTTAGAATGCAGAGGGTTATTATCAAAATTTTCTGATATTATCATCTTTTGTTTAGTGGCTTTTAAAAATTTGTAATTTTCATTAAATATTTTTCTAATTTACCAAATCATATGATTTTTATATACCTACATATTTCACATTTTTCTAATAATTTTTTAGAGACATAATTGATAGTAGTCATGATATTTTAGACATAACAAAAGATATTTAATTAAATTATTTTAAATATTATTTACTTTAGGGGTAAATATTGNTGTGTTTGTGTTTTTGACACTGTCGCGAAGAAGCAACTTGTTGGTATGGCACGGAGGTGTTTATGTATGAACGCACTTTGCTTTGTTGTAGGGCGCAGGCGTCTATGAATGAAAACGTTATTGTTGTATTTGATTTTAGCTTTTGGGCGATAGTAGTATTTTTCACACAAGTAATATGTTTGTATGTTTTTACAAATGCGTATATGCATGTATTAAAGTATATATGTACATATGTTTGTATGCATATATTACTTGGGGAAGGTCAGTAATTTGAATGGTACAGGTATACATACATATGTACATATTTATAAATTAATGTATTTTTGACTTATAAGTTAAGAAAATTATTCATCTTAATTAATTAAATAACCCTTATTGTAAATAAACGCTATAGCGAAATGCCGACGGCAACTCGACACTTTTTGATGGTAAACATTTAAAATTTGCTATAAGTTAAGTCAGAAATTCGAAAAACATAGGAAATATATTAGTAAAATTTGGTTCAGTTTCTTCAATCTAAAAAAAAAAAATTAAATAATATTTTCCTTTATTTTGATAACAATCATCAAAAAATTCGTTCCCTGAAGTTAACATATAACAATGTTATTTAAATGCTGAGAATTGCATTTGTGAGCATAATTTTTGTTGCTACGCTCAAAATGTTAAGCACTATAGACGAATTCTGTTAATTTCTGTGCCGGTGGTGAAATACGCTTTCATGCTAATTTTCCGCTAATGTCAAAACTTAGTGAACAGCTGATCTTTGACTCAGCAGTTTGTTTTCGCTCATCGATATTATGGCTGATTGCTTATATACTTTTGTTTGCTTTTATTTCATTTTTATTTCTATGATATTTATAATTTTATATTAGCACATTAAATTTAACTGAATACATTCATATGTAATATATGCAGTTGAATCAGTTATGAGTGTGTTAGTGTATGTGCGTGTTTCGATAGCTCTCATTCTCTAACTTCTTAGGAGGTGATGTGTAATGTTGTTTGTGCATCAAGCAAATGTCTCTTGTTTTGGGGGCTTGTTTATTAAGAGTTCACTTCTAAGAGAAACTAAGCATGCGATCGAAAAAATATGGTTTTTTATGAAAATAAAAAAAGCAATTTTCACATTTCCTTAGTGCCTAATCCTCATTGATGTTTTTCCCCGAACAGAGCTATTGTTGTTTGTTTCTATATACAAACATACACATATTCATATGTGAATGCATGCATATAAGTACGCATTATTGTTGCAGATGTAAAAGTTAATAATTTGCATACCTGTTATTGGCAGGTATTCCAAGGTAGATTTCATTAAGGGAATTTAATTTGCATATGAATTTACTATCTCTGAAGTTACACATCGGTAGACTCATACATAAATATATAATGTTGGTTATATAACCCAATTGGATAGCTGTGTATGTACATTTTTTCTATTCAAGATGAGATAAATATTTCGTATCTCATAGTTTGCATGTGGATTAATTTGGTTGCAATACGACTTTTATGATAAATGCGTATCTAATTGAGTTTGGCGGTCGCATTAGTCGAGTGGTTAGAACTGTATAATACCATGAAGTGGGTAACAGGTTTGATTCGTGCTCAATATTTTAGTATTGAAACTAATTTTTGGAATTGCGGTGGACTCTTCATAGGGAATATCATGTGTTCCGAGTTAACTCTGATATGAAATAAAAGGTTTCTCATAAAAATCAAGTTAGAGGAGAAATTCAGCCAAAATTATGAAGCGAGAATTATATAATATATACATATATGTATACACTTATTAGAGTTTATCAAATCTAATCTAAAAATATCATACTCCTACATCAACTCACGTCACAAGACCTGCGCTGAGAAACTTTGGTGTCAAAACAATTTTCTTTATTGACATCGCAATTTATAGATAAGTTATAAATACAAATACATATGTATGTAGTGTCGGGAGAGGGGATAGGTTATTATTATTATTTAGTTCGAAACAGGCACACTCGATCATTGCTAATGGGCTTAATTACTGCATATGATATATGAATTTATAAATAACATGGTGCACCCTGTAATAATATAATGGCAACGGCTTATATTCACTTCCGTTTAAATCTAAGTTTGCGTGTTGAGGCAATTATTTTTCAAGTGAAATTTTTAAAGCAATCTGAGAGACTTCACTTTGGCTCACAGCAAATATTTTAAATTGCCAATATTGAGAGCACCAACATTGTATGTTGACTGGAAATATACATAACTCCGCACCGAGCTAACAAATATTAAATTACTTTCGATCCTGTCAAATTTCTGAAAATCTTGTTGGGATTGATCTCGTCGACTTGCCAATAGCAAAGCTCTTCAACACCCTTATTGTACTTAATCTATTGTTTTTTGATTTTTTTTATAAACATACATACTATATGTACATATGTGTATGAATTCACAAACATTCTTTCTTGTTTCCTTTTTAGCTCATTGCTTGCTACTCCACCAATGTGAAGAGAACTAAAATTTTTGAAAGTGCTACTGCTGCTGTTGCCGATATACCCGATGGATCGAAAATCTTATTCGGTGGATTTGGTGTTTGTGGCATACCAGAAAAATTGATTGACGCTTTGAAGACCAAGGGTGTGAAGGATATAACTGCAGTTTCCAATAATGGAGGTTAGAATCGACTTTCAATGACGTTTAGTTCAAATAGAGCGAGCTGCGGTTTGTTGTGCATATTTTCAGACCTCGAAATAAATACGTAATACAATTTAGTACAGAAATTTCAACTTAAATATTAAAGCTGCACATACATACATATATAAATTTTATTAAATACCTAATTACATACGTATATATGTTTGTAAACAAAAAATATCTTCACAGGCGTTGAAGATTGGGGCATCGGTTTACTTATCCAACAAAAACAAATCAGCAAAATGATAGCTTCCTACGTGGGTGAAAATAAAGAGCTCGTCCGACAATATTTAGCTGGTGAATTGGCCATTGAATTGACACCACAAGGAACAATCGCTGAAAAAATTAGAGCTGGAGGCGCAGGTATGTTGAAAAAGTTTTTTTTTAGTTTTTTTTTAGTTTTTTTTTAGTTTTTTTTGTTTTTTATTTTTTTTTTTTAGTTTTTTTTTTTTAAATACATATGTACATATGAACTTTTTTCTATAATAGGAATACCGGCATTTTTCACGCCCACCGGTTATGGTACGCTCATACAAAAGGGTGGCGCGCCAATAAAGTATGGCAATAATGGCAAAGTCGATATTGTAAGCAGACCGAAACCAGTACAAACATTCAATGGAAAAGATTACGTCTTGGAGGAATCCATTTTCGCTGATTATGCCATTATTAAAGCACATAAGGCTGATCCTTATGGAAATTTAGTTTTCAATAAATCTGCACGGAATTTTAATGCGCCAATGAGCCGCGCTGCGAAAACTACTATTGTTGAGGTTGAAGACATTGTACCCGTTGGCGCGCTGACGCCAAGTGAAATACACATTCCTGGTATTTATGTAGATCGCATTATTAAGGGTGAAAACTATAAGAAACGTGTGGAGCGTCTACGTTTGCGTGAAAGCGATGAAAATAAATCCAAATCCAGTCCTGGACAAGAGTTGCGTGAACGCATTGCAAAGCGTGTAGCTTTGGAATTCCGTGATGGCATGTATGTTAATTTGGGTATCGGAATGCCAGTACTATCCTCAAATTACATACCTAAAGGTATGAATGTTATGCTGCAATCTGAAAATGGTATACTGGGTTTGGGTCCTTTCCCAACAAAGGAACAAGTCGATCCGGATCTAATTAATGCCGGCAAGGAGAGTGTAACCGTAGTGCCTGGTGCATCGTATTTCGGTTCCGATGAAAGTTTTGCCATGATTCGTGGTGGTCATGTGGATATAACTATACTTGGCGCTATGGAGGTATCGGCAACAGGTGATTTGGCCAATTGGATGATACCGGTATGTGCTTTACATAATTGCTTAAGTATCCTATCAGATGTTATAATGTAATATTATTATCTTCAGGGTAAGCTGGTTAAGGGTATGGGTGGCGCTATGGATTTGGTAGCCGCTCCTGGAACCAAAGTTATCATCACGATGGAACACAATGCCAAGGATGGCTCACCAAAAATTTTGGATAAATGTACATTGCCTTTAACTGGGCAAGGTATCGTTGATTTGATTATTTCCGAAAAAGTATGTACATATATGTATTATATTAAAAAAAAGGTTGTAAACCTTTTTTATTTTGTTGTACAATTTTTTTAGGCTGTCTTTGCTGTAGAAAAAGGGGTTGGTCTAACACTCTTAGAAATTGCCGAAGGTTTATCAGTGGAAGATTTGAGATTATGCACAGGCGCGCAATTCGAAGTTTCGTCAAAACTTAAAAAGATGGCACAAATCGGTGAAAATTAAGTACTTTCTGCTTTATCGTTATCGTTAAATAATTAGTTAGCGTTTGTTTCGAAAAAAATAGTTAAAAAACTTTCTAAAAGCTGATTTAAGTAACTGTAAGGTTTTTTATCAAAATAAGTGAACTTAATAGTGATAAATGTGCATTTATTATATTTTATGTGGTTTTTTACAAGATGTTAAATAAAAATATATTATTTTTTTACGACTGTTTATACGTGAAAGAAATTTAAGGTAACAAAACATAAAATATATATTTATAATATATACATATGTAAATATGCAGCTAAAGAACAAACCATAACTTAACTCTAGAAACATAACTAAAAAATATAGGTATTTAAACTCATTACGATTCTGATGTCCTTATTGCTATTACTACCGAAAAGATGCGAAGATTCTGTTTTGTAATTACGACTTCAGAGTGATAGGATATAAATTATATAATAATAATTTGTAAATTGTAACCTTTGGTTGGAAACTAACGATGATTACTTAGTTTTATCAGTTTAAAGCGTATTTGAAGCGTGATCCAAGTCATCAATTCGGTAAATTAAAAAAAAAAAGAAACATAAAACTCAATGTTGACTCAATCGTTATATTGTCACATTAAATTAAATTAGCGTAAGGAAACCTCGACGTCGAAATGCTTCATCCGCTGCAGACAGTCAAATATTTGCTACCGGCTCTTTTCTTATAGCAAACTTGTCAAATATTTGTTTCTTATTGCCGCCGATTACAGATGTCGGTACTAAGTTTGCCCTTTTTATCATATGGAAAATTCAAAACTTTTCCAGACTGACCCTCTGAGCATTTCAAGAAAAAATGTACACATATGTTAACATTTCAAGTTAAACTTTTTTATTTTATTAAGTTAAATAAATTTGTTTTCAAAAAGCTAAAATTTTAAGTAACGATTTTCTTTACGAATAAAACGGTATAGTTAGATGTGATAAAAAATCGCTTCCGGAATTATTTTCTTATACGAAAATAATTTGGAGTTCATTTTAATACTCATTTAATGATTTCATTGATTAAATTTTAAAAATTCCTCCGAACGGAAAGATAAAAGTAAAAACCGAAATATTATATGTATTTGGAAATTAATTAGAAAATCTTTAACAATTTGGTTATACTTTCTGAAGGCCTTTCACTTGTCACATCCAACCATCCCTCGAAACAATCGAGCACACCATTAACTAATTACTTTACTCATATCCTTTAGCGTAGTTTTCGATTGTTTGGCAGCTTTCACAATTTGTTTATTCAATTCTTGAAATATTTCGATCTTTTTCATTTCGATTTCACTGCGACAAACTACACAAAACTGGGATGAGAGCACGTGTAAGGGACTGCGAAAGTAATAGTATTTGCTTGTATTTAACGAGTTCTTCTTGTGGGCCCAATAGTGTAAAACTTCTTCGATTAGCACTAGTAGGAAATACAAACCAATGGAGAAGCAAAAGAATGTTAGTATGAGAAAAACTAAATAACGCTCCTTTTCATAGCCCAAGATGATATCCTAAAGGAATATTAACTATTAGCTTTATTGTGCTTGTTTATTATTTACGTAAAACATACATTCTTCACACCGTCCATTTTGATAAAATCCTCTCTTTTGTATAGCTGGCGACGACGATGGCATTCTCTTTTTAGGCGCATGCATGGTAGATTATGGGTCTTGTCCTTTACCTCGATGTTGGTGTCAGAAAGGAATTTTTTCGGTATTTGGAAATGCTCATGTTTGCCATAGCGAACCTTCACTTGTGTGCCGTTCAATGGCTCGCCGGTTTCCATGTCGAGTACCTGCTGTTTTATAGTGCTTACATCATGATGAATGTAGAGGTGTTCGCCCGTTTCCGAGTTCTGAAAAGATGGAAGTGAATTTAAATCTAATTAAAAATACTTTTATATGCATTTAAAAAAATTTAAAAAAAAAAAAATATATATATATACACATTTATAAATGTATAGATTATTTATATATCTAAAAGTATGTTTTCGAATTTTCCTTTTCAGCAGATTTCTTTAAATAATTTTAATGAGAAATTCAACTCTGTTCTTAATTTGTTTACATAAACGGACTTATTTGTTTAACCAGTTTTAAATTATGAGAAGATTCGATTCGATAACAAGTTTTTGAGACTCTGCAAGACAGTTGAGTAATGGCCTGCAAGAACGGCCTGATGGGTTCACCATTACACACACAATATTTCAGGCAACACATCCGATTTTTTTTGTTCTTATTCTCTTCTGAGTACATTCAAATTGAAGGAGAAAATGCAGTTGAATGGATTATCCGTTTTATTTTAAGTCCTTGTTTTCGAGTAGAACGCCAGTTTTGATCGTTTTCTCCGTACCAGATAGAAGTGAAAAATATTTGGTGATGATATTTGTACAGTTCAAGCTGTACGGAAAAATTATCAGGTATACAACTTTGCTTCCGCCTTTTTTTTTCCAAAATTAAAAGTTTTATTGCGAAAAAGCGCTTACAGATATATTATTCAAAGTACTGTCCTTCGTTAGCGAAAATTTTCTCCCATCTTTCCGGCACTTTTCGGATCCCGGCTCGAAAAAAGGAGTCCTCTTTTGACGCTATCCATGAAGCAATCCATTTTTCCAATTCTTCGAAGGATTGAAAATGTTGATCTGCCAGGCCGTGTGCCAGCGAACGGAATAGGTGGAAGTCAGAAGGGGCGACATCTAGGGAATACTTTTTGACCACTTTTACGACGTGAGGCCGAGCATTGTCATGTTGGAGTATGACTTTGTCATGTCGCTCTTGATATTGTGGCCGCTTTTATTTTAGCGTGGGACTAAGGCGTATCAGTTGCGTTCGGTAGCGATCTCCTGTGATGGTTTCACCCGGTTTTAAGAGCTTGTAGTAAATCACTTCGACAGCAATTCTTATAGTTGTTCATAATTGAAGGTTTTTCTCTTCCACCACCATGTTTGTCTTCGACATTGAAATCACCATTTTTAAAACGTTGAAACCACTCCCGACACGTTCTTTCACTCAGAGCAGCATCACCGTAAGTTTCTGAAAGCAATCGATGCGCTTCAGCTACATTTTTTTTTCGAATTGTAACAGAAAAGTAGCGTGAATAATACGAAAACAAGAACAACTGTCATTGAAACGGTGATGACAATTCGTTAGGCACTGTCCACACACTCTTTAAAGGCATTATCATCTATGTATTTCAACCAGCCTCAGCCGGTACAGCCACCTATCGGAAAACTGCGGAAGCAAAGTTGTTTGAAACGGACGATTCGCACCATGCAGCGGTACATCTGCTACATCTGATATTCAAAAAAAAAAAACTTTTCAAAATATTCCGATCCCAATATTTTGCAGACCCAAATGATCGGTAACCCTTTTGCAGGGTGACTTACGGCAGCAGAGCTGTAGTCACTTGATGGAAAATACTTAAGAGAAATGATCGCTTTCGATGAAGCTTCACGCTTCTCTGTCCCGTGAAACCAACCAAAGGGTACGCCTGAAAAGTTGAAACAGATCAGTGCCCGACAGACACAAAGACAGCCTGAATTGACATGACCCTGAAAGCCCTTTCATGAACGGGTGCGATACTACTTGTCTCAAAATTAGTTGGGCAATGGGCAATGAGTAAATATTGACTTAAACGCCGAAAATCGGTAATCGAAAATCGCACCTTGATTGACCGTGAAATATTTCGTTCGCGCAGTTACAAATGAAATTACCACACCATGAGTTGCCACCTCGGGCAAACTTCAACTGAGTGCCGTTAATTAATTTATTTTTTTTTCATAAATTTTACATAAGTATGTACTCGTATATACTGTTGTTGTAACATTGCGTGCTAAAATGCGAAGGTCCAGCGTTTGAGTCCTGGTCCGATCAACATCAAAGAATTTAAGAAAAATTTTTTTTTCTAATTACGGTCACCCTTCGGTAGGGAGTGTCAAGCCCTTCGAGCGTAATCCTGATATAAAATATAAGCTCCCCCATAAAAATCTACCGTCCAACCGGGGGCGGCTTAGAATAAACTGTAGGTCTCTCCATTTGTTGGAAAACATTAAGATGCGTATCTTAACCTTAGAGGGAAGGGTCGGCCGAAAATCGTTTCGGGTCGGTTACCAGGCACCCGATATATATATATATATATATAAGTATGTGCTGTTTACATTCGTAAGTTTTGCCACTGAATACTCATAATGTACATAAAAATAGTATCAGTTTGTTACGAATCATTAATTTATTTAACAGACAAGTGACTATATTGAAGATAACGATAAGTTTTTGTTATGTTTTGGCGCCATAATCGCGGAACCGCTATCAGGCAAGATAGATGATATCTTTGTAATTTCAATTGTTGGTGAATCTTTTATATATGTATGTAAGTACATAGTTGATATTTAAAATGGTGTATAATGTGACGTGGTCCTGCTTCTGGGTATGCAGTTACAGTCGGATACCCTAATATTTGGGTTCTCGTCACACACGCAGGAAACGTGAGCAATTCGGGTGCGAGCCTTGGTAACTAACGATGTGGAGACTGGAGTCTTTTTGCAGCTGTAGCTTACTAGAGGTGCGGGCGAAAGCGTGCGCCGGTCCTATTTCACCCAAAAATTCATAATAAGCAACATCAGTTAAAAAGAGAGCAGATCCTAGGATCAGAGGCACCACTTTGATAACGTTAACTGAAAGCTTTTAAGGACCATCATTTGAGGTGATATTGGAAAAGCCGCTGTCCGGCTAATGTATGCTCTTTTAAGAATAAAGGCTGACATCACCGCCGTCCAACGAGAGAAGGACTGAAACGGAAGTTATATTTTGAATTCTTCGAAGAGAAATTTTCATGCATTGCAAAAACAAAGCTAACAAACACGTATTGAATTTTGCACGTCAACAAAACCGTGCATCGAAATAGGAAGGTTCACTGTGGCGGAATTTGGAGCACCGCACTCTGATTAATTTCTTTGTAAAAATTGAAGTACGCCGAAAGAATTTTTTCAAGAGATATTATCTATTCTTCAGGACTCTGTCCTTCTATATATACGATGGTGGAAAAATGGGCTCGTCTATTTCAACAAGGAAGAGGACCTGTGAAGATGACGCCCGTCCCGTGGCGCCCAGTGCCCGTAGTGATCGAAGAAAATGTTCAGAAAGTCGGAAAATTAGCACTGGCTGATCAAAGAATTAAATTGTGGCAGGTAGCAGAGGGATTACAGATTTCCAAAGAATGAGCTGGAAAGATTTTGCATGAACATAGGAATATAAAAAAAATTAGTGCACTTTGGGTACCGCGAATGCACACGTCGCTCGACAAACTGCGACGATTGGAGAGTTGTAAAGATTTTTTGGAGATGTATTGCGATGATTTGGAAAAAATTTGCAACCACATTGTACAAGTTCATGATACTTGAATTCGCCAGTATAAACCCGAATCCCAACAGGAGTCGACGCAGTATATGAAAAGGGGAAAGGTCACCAAAAAAATTCCAAGTGGAAAAGTCGGTGTCGAAGATTATGGCTACCATTTTTTAGGATATATATAATTGGTGCTTTGTAAGCGCTGAAGTGATTTTCGGCCGAGCTCTTCCTCCAATTTGTGGATTTGCGTCTTGATGATTTTCGAACAAATGGAACCTACACTTTATACTAAGTCGCCTCCGAACGGCTGATGGATTTTTTACGATGAGCCTTTATTTCATGTCTGAAATACACTCGGAGTGGTGGACATTCCCTGCCGAGAGGCGACCGCAATTAGAAAATTTAACTTAATTTTATTATTTAAATTAATTTTCCATAACTTTTGGATGTTGGATGGCACCGGGATATGAACCCGAGCTTATACTAAGTCACCTCCGAACGGCTGATGGGTTTTTTACGATGAGCCTTTATTTCATGTCCGAAACACACTCGGATTGGTGGACATTCCCTGCCGAGAGGCGACCGCAATTAGAAAATTTCAATTAATTTTTTATTTTAAATATATTTTCTATAACTTTTTGCATTTCATAAGTAAGACACCACGATTTGAACCTGAGATTGCCGAATGTCAGTACGCAATGCTTACCACTCGATTACCGCGGCTGCCGATAGCGATAGGAAATATTATTAATTGATTACTTGCCAGAGGAAACTATAATAAACGGCCAGTATTAGGCTAATTTGTTGAGTCAGGCGCGTGAGGCAGTCGTTAGCACACGGAGTGCTGTTTCTTCAGGACAATGCAACCGTTCACACCGCTAAGGTTGTGAGGAATGCTTGACCATCCGCCCTACAGTACCGACCTGTGTTGCCAGTGAATTTTCCTTGTTTGCAGACGACAGTGATATGAAAGCGGCCGTAGAAAAAGTATTTTGAAGAGAAATCTAAAGAATATTTTTTTTAGCGTAAAAAGGCATCGAATTCCCAATGTGACAAAGGGTATTGAAAAATAAAAAATGTAAAACTACACATTTTTTTCATTGAGTATTACTTAAGGCCGCGAACTTACCAGCCGTCTTCTTAAAAAAAAAAAGAATTGAGTGAATTGTAGGTTCGTTCTAAGCCGCCACCAAACGGCTAATAGGATTTAATATCCGAAATACATTGGCATTTTCTGCTTTTTCTCACATTCTATAATTTTGGTTGCTGATTTAGACTCGTAAACAGGACCTCCCGGATGCAAGTACGTACACACGGTTATTTGGTGGCCGCAATCTTATACCGGCATAAAAACGATAAAAAAAATTAAATGATTCATCCATATGTATATATGTATGTTTGCTCTGTAGTTTTTCGACGAGGTGAATCCACCATCTGTTGGCCGCCTGACATAACGAACATATGGAGCCTTAATATCAATCCTTTGAACAAAACGGTCTTCCAATTGAAGTTCCACCAGAAGCCCGAAATTTTTTTTGAAATTCAACTCATTTATATTGTCGCTATTGCAAGGCAAATATTATCAAGTGCTGTTGCTGAATCGATGTGAGTATGCGCGAGAACCAAACATTTTACACATACATATGCACGTAGCTTATTCCGCATTTGCTTTGGGACTACCGTCACACAAACGTACATGTGATGGTATGTATGTATGTGCATAAAAATGTTAAATAAATTATTTTAATTTAAAGTAATTAAATAAACTTCAGTCATGTCTAAATATGTGCTATTTACCTGTATGGAGTACACCATTCTCGGCCTTATCTCTGTAATGGCTGGCTTTTGTTGTATCGTGTTCTTTTTTTTCTGTTGATTTGAGATATCTTTGGCGTGTGTCAAATCTTTTCACTCTTTCACCTGTTAAATGTAGAATGCAAAAAATACTTGTTTACTCGTTTTTCATTTAATTTTTTTATTTTGGGTTGATAAAATAAGTATTTATGTGCACAAGTAAGTAAGTTTAAAAAATCACCAAAAATTTATTGTACTTTATAATTTTTTATAATATTTATTTATTTATTTTTTTTTTAAATTACATTTTTCAATTTAATGCATTTAAAACAATTCTAACACTTAACCATTGAGTTTTGGTCTTATAGTGTGAAAGCGCCGACATCGACTAGAGTGTATCTCTTGAGCTTTGCTAATACACGCCGCGTGTGTCACTATTATTTTCTACACACATATTTGTGTATGGTGTGAAATAAAGTCTCTCTTCGCCCATTTTATCTTATGCGAATAAAAGTAAAAAAAAAATATATATATATATGTATATAATACTATATAAACAAATACCATATTTGCTTGAATGTGTAAATGGAGACTACCGATTCGCGTACTCATCTAATGAACTGTCGTGTTGTTACTGTGGTGAAGTTTGCTTTTAGACTGGTTTATGTCTAGTTAGGCTCTCACATCAATGCATTTTTATTATAACAATATAATTGCTCATATATGAATGTATATGTATATATGTATGTATGTATGTAAACATTTAATGATATATTATATCTTATATATATATATGTACGAGTATATACATAAGTGCTTGTGCCGAATATCACTACAGTGGTTACATAGCGCCAATGATATATATATGTACAGCGGTTGACAGCTAATTAAAAACGATGCTTGTTTTAAATTGAATGATATTTTTGCCCATTAAGGCACGCTTTTATATATGATGTTTTCTAATTTTATTCAAACAAATACCAAACTTAAAATCATACACGGTGTGTTCCAAAAATAATCGAACTTTTTGGATATAAAATAAAATACACGTTATATTATCTTTGAAAGTTATTATTTAATCAAAATAGGTTCCATTTAACTCAACACAATGTTTGGAACGATCAACCAGCGCATGCATAGATTTTTTTATGTCATTTATAGAAATGTTCTTCAGTACCACGGCTTACGTCTGCTTGAATGGCTGGGATATCATCATAAAATGCTCCCTTCATCTTTTTTTTCAGTTTTGGAAATAAAAAATAATCACATGGTGATAGATCAGCCGAATACGGAGGATGGTCGATGAGGGAAATCCATTTTTTCATTAAAAATTCGAGCGATTTTTTGGTCGTCATTTAATTCATGTCGAACAAATCGCGCACAGACCTTTCTTTTCCCCAAATCTTCAGCTAAAATTCTCCAAATAGTATTTTTTACTCGTATTAAATTCCGCAGCTAACATTCTCGTAGTGAAATTTGCATCGATACCAATGATTTCACGGTCTTTTTCCACCAGTTCAGCACGATTACTAGTTTCTGGACGTCCTGCTCTAGGGTCGTCATTTAAATTCTCACGACCATTTTTAAAGTGTGTAAATCACGTATAAACTGGCGTACGACTCATACAATCATCACAATAAACTTTTTTCATTAATTTTTTTTTTTCAAGTTTAACACAAAATTTTATATTTGCTCTTTGTTTCATTTTATTTTTAAACCATTAGCACACTTTTGGTTCTATTGAAATGGCTGTCACTTTTACATCTGTCATCCGACTTACATGATGTTAGGTGCCTTTGAAAGAGGATGAATGTATCTTTTTAATGTTGCAAATTTTCAATAGATGGCGCTGTATATTGCATGATTTAAATATAAAGTTCGGTTATTTTTCGGACACACCGTGTATTCTATGCATTTTATACAAAACTCATTTTTAAATATTTTTTTTTTTGCGAAAAACCTGTGAAATCCATGAATTGTGTGCGACTCTTAATTAGAAACGAAAACTTCTGCTTCAAAACTGTCTCACACACCGATTTCGCATTGATGTTATAAGATTCCGTCAGTGAGCCACTGTTACCACCATTTTTAGAATATTTTTAGCGCTAACGACTCTTTTAACATCACCCCAGAGGTTTCAAGTCTGGGTTTGATGATTGGCTGAAACATTGATTGAATTTTCGACGTTTTTGCGATGTGATTTGGTTCGTTATCCTGTTGAAATTTCCATATAACAGCCAAATTCAACTCAGCCCAAGACAACATGACATTTTTTAGTATTTCGATGTAATTCTACTGATTTTAAATTTCATTTATCCTACAGCGCATTCCCGGAAAAACATTTCCATACCATGATTGATGCTCCAATATGCTTCACTGCGCGTGAAACATAGCGAGGATTAAATGCATGATTAATGAGCCCTCGAACATACCTTCGACCATCAGGAATAATGCGAATATTTATGTTTCCTAGCTCCAAACTATATACTTCCACTACTTTTGGGTCCGAATCCAATGAGAATGGGCAAAGATCCGTCGTTTTATTTGGACATTGGTCAGAAGCGATTTCTTGCGTGCTGTTCTTCCATGAAGAGCAAATTCGACCAAACGCCGTACAATTATTCTCTTTGATATTTGAACAGTGAATTCATTCTGACTTCCACGTTGAATGCTCGATGAACTCTTTTTTGGGTCTTTTCGGAAGATCACTGTAATTCTGTGGATTATTCCTACTGAAATGACTGCATGACTTTCCAGCTCTACGAAGGTCAAAAATAGAATTGTGTAATGCTGGTGTACAGTTGCTGTGTTTTCTAATCAAAAATCTTGAGATACAAATTTTAATTGATTTTAAATAAAAAAAAAAAATTTCGGTAAATACTTACCAAAAGTTTGTAATATTATCAATACAACAACACAACGTTATGAATATGTTACTATTGAACAAACGTTTCTAATTATTACGGTAAATTTGCATATTTTACTATTAGGCTCAACAAGCACTTACAATAAGAGACCGTTTCTGATTAATTGCCCACAGCTGTATATATATGTATTTGTATATATTATATAAACAGAAAATTTGTTGGCTATTTGAGTAGGTGTTGATAGTAAAGTAATGTAGCGTATTTTAATCTTGATCCCGATATTTTTAATTTTACGTGGTATTAGCTTTTATTATGTCACTTAGTGCTGCCGTACTTAAACGGTGAGTTACACGAGTAAAAACACTATTAGGAGAATTTTAACTGAAGATTTGGGGGAAAAGAAAGGTCTGTACGCGATTTGTTCCAAATGAATTAAATGACGACCAAAAAATCGCTCGTGTGGAGCATTGCAAAGACATTATTCAAACTGCTGAAAACGATTAAGACTTCTTTGATTCGATCATAACTGGTGATGAGACATGGTGCTTTAAATATGACCCTGAAACTAAGCGTCAATCTGCTGAATGGAAGTCCAAAGGCGAGCCAAAACCAAAGAAAATTGCGTTTTCAGAAGTCTCGAATCAAGACAATGTTGATTACTTTTTATGATTCTAAGGGTATTGTCCACAAGGAATTTGTTCCAGAAGGTCAAACTGTTAATGGAGAATACTATTTAGGCGTTATACACTGTTTGTGGAAAAGAATCGGTCGTGTTAGACCAGAATATCCAGCAGGAAAACATCTTTTTTTGATTGCACGATAATGCACCACCTCACAAGACCATAAAATCGCTCGAACTTTTAATGAAAAAAGGGATTTCTCTCATCGACCATCCCCCCGGATCTATCACCATGTGACCATTTTTTATTTCCAAAACTGAAAACCAAGATGAAGAGAGCATTTTATTATGATATCCCAGCCATTCAAGCAGCCGTAACCGAGGTACTGCAGAACATTTCTATAAATGACATAAAAAAAATCTATGCACGCGCTGGTTGATCGTTCCAAACGTTGTGTTGAGTCAAATGGAACCTATTTTGAATAAATAATAACTTTCAAAGGTAATATATTGTGTATTTTATTTTATATCCAAAAAGTTCCATTATTTTTGGGACACACTGTGTATGTATAAAATAAAAATAAATTCGTTCATTTTTAAACATAAAGAGGTTATATTTTGATCAGTTAGTCAGGCTTTGTTGGGACGATAGCAAGTAATATTTGAAAAACCCCGAAGTTTTTGTCTCGGTTCTCGGTACAGTTATAAAAATAATAAAAATAATTTGTAATAACTAAATATTCTCAAATATGCTCAAGCAAACATTTTTTCTTTTGGTATTCAAGTAGTGGGCACACATAAAATATATATTTATTTTTTGGTAAACTAAAATTATTAATGTTTTTTTGTTGTACTTTAAGTTTTACTTATTGAAAATATTGTTTAAAAAATCAAATAAAATACTCGCAACATATTTTTTCGCTAACAATGAATTTTAATTAACAAAATTTAAATTTATCTTTGACCACCATCATCAAAAAAAGAAGATAAAATTAAATAAGTAAATAAAAAAATGAATTTGGAAAAGAAAAGAAAATTCCAACTTTATTTGCGGCAAAAAAAATTAAATAGCTTTTTATTTTTAATTTTATTTAGCTAGTTTATTTAATTTTTGTTTTTACTTTTATGCATATGCAAAACACAAGGTAGTTTCATTCAAAATTTTTTCAAAAATATTAACCATCTGACATAAAAAGAGTTTTTGACTTTTGCTTTATTTTTGTGCTGAGAATTTAATATTTTTAAGTTAAATGATCAACTTCCTAAAGTTAAAAAAAAATAGATTTATGCAAAACCTCTCAATGTTAACAAAAAAATTAAGAAAAATTAAACATACTCACAAATAACTCAAAGGCTTTCAAGCGTCTTAGCATGTTTTATACAAAAATATGTATGTATGTATATGAAACATTTTAAAAATGGCTATATCTTGAAGTTAAAATGATAATGATGATTTAATGTCAAAATATTTTTTTCTGTAAATTTTATTCCGAGTGAAATTACCTTCGTTTTTTGTATCACGCTTTTATACACGGTGTGTCCCAAAAATAATCGAACTTTTTGGATGTAAAATAAAATACACATCATATTATCTTCGGAAGTTATTATTTATTCAAAATAGGTTCCATTTGACTCAACTTAACGTTTGGAACTATCAACCAGCGCATGCATAGATTTTTTTTTTATGTCATTTATAGAAATGTTCTTCAGTACCTCGGTTACGACTGCTTGAATGGCTGGGATATCATCATAAAATGCGCCCTTCATCTTGGTTTTCAGTTTTGGAAATAAAAAATAGTCACATGGTGATAGATCAGGCGCATACGGAGAATGGTCGATGAGAGAAATCCCTTTTTTCATTATTTCATGTGGAACTAATCGCGCACAGACCTTTCTTTTTCCCAAATCTTCAATTAAAATTCTCCAAATAGTATTTTTAATCGTATACAATTCCTCAGCCAGCATTCTCGTAGTGAAATTTGCATCGATACCAATGATTTCAAGGACTTTTCCCATCAGCTCAGCACGATTACTAGTTTCTGGGCGTCCTGCTCTTGGGTCGTCATTTAAATCCTCACGACCATTTTTAAATCGTGTAAACCACGTATAAACTTGCCTACGACTCATACAATCATCACAATAAACTTTTTTCATTAATTTTTTTTACAAGTTTG